TGGAGCTCAATTGGAGAAGCATGAATGCGAGTCGAGTTCAGAAGCCTCTACCACGTTAAATTAGGTATATTTTTATACAAATTCAAGGCATTGGATGAAAGATTGGATATCTGTACTGTAAGGCTTCAAATAAAAGGGTCGAAGTTGCTACGAAGGCTGTTTTTCTGGCAGACTTCGAGCACAAGCAAGCTGCCAGAAAAACAGCCTTCGTAGCAACTTCGAGCCTTTTGTTTGAAGCCTTAAAGATATTCAATATTTCATCCAATGCCTTGCCTTTGTATAAAAAAATACGCAATTTAACGTGGTAGAGGCCCCTGGACTTGACTCGCATCCATGCTTCTCAAATGGAGCTCCAAAGTAGGCTTGACAAACACGTTGCCAGACTTAGCCATTTTCAGGCAGTTTCCTAGTTTTGGCATAGCCTTTTGGTCAGGTTCAAAAATGGTCTTCTGCACTTTCTATTGAGCTCCCAAGTACTTTAATGTGTAGAGGGACACTTCATCTTCAGAACAAGCCTTTAATCTCCAATTTCCATCTAGCCAATTGTAAGATATGAATCTCCAAAGTAGACACCATGAAACTGTTTTTACACTGAAACAACATATTAGGTCGACCTAATCCTATATGAGGTCGACTGAAAAGTGCATGTCACCGTTACATGCATGTCACCGTAGCAAAGTCCTAAATCTTAACACACTTTTTATTGTATCCAACACAATCGTGCAATCCACATTAACATTAATATTTGTCATACCTAAATCCGGTATTGAAAATAGAAAATTAACTATCAAAATTTTAAAAAGTTACTATGACGTTTAGTGAAGGTGATATTTGGTTCAGTTCAGTTATAAACTTATACTCATAATTGATTAGTCGATTACTCATTATTTTTTAATGTGGGTATACATGGGTCAGTTGGGCCGGTTTCGAGAATTTTAACAACACAACCAATTAATCACGAGTTGAATTAATTAGGGATGACAATTTGAACCCATCACGTCTAGTATTACCCGACCTGACCAGCTATGGGGCGAGTATTACCCAAACCGCAAGCGTGGGGCGGGGTATGGGTATCTACTTCCGACCCACCTTGCCCCGCTCCGTTCTTGGCCCATTCTATGTCGATTTCTTACCGTATCTATTCATATTTTTTCTATTTTGACTTTTGTTCAGTTAGTTAGATTTAATTTTTCAACTAATTAGAGTCAATTACCCTTTCTATTATCACTATTCTTCATTCATAAAGTGTTTTCCCATTCGTTTCATCGTTACAAAAATTACATGTATTTTTATCAAATAAAATGTCAAAGTGGGTCGACCCGCCCCTGTATCCGGGAGGGTATTACCGACCCTGACCAGTAATAGCATGGGAGGTGTATGGGTATTGAGGTACCCGCCCAGCCCCGTCCCATCGACATCACTAATTTGAATTATGGTAAACCCAAACCCACCCATAATTTCATATTCATACAAATTTCTTGAGAAATGGTTTGGATCGGGTTAGATGGAAGTCCAATCAAAGAATTAAAATAATATTTTATTTAAGTGAAAATTTTGATGAATTTAACTTTATAATTTATCAATACTATCTAGACAAATGACATGTGAATCAGAGGATTATATATATAATTTATAAGACTTTCATCTATAATGTAGTATTACGGGTTAGTTTGGGTACTCTCGGTTTGTAACCATAAAAACCCGTACTCAACCACAATTCTATGGTTATCAAAAATTCAAATTCGCATCCACAAGTAAAATTGGATTTTCTTGGTGGGTCGGTTTGAGTTGTAGATGGGTCCGTTTTCAATGTTGTTTGTTCACCCCTAATCGTTATCCATTTTTTTACTACGGGAAATTGAACCATTAGAATAATCGAGTATCAATTAAACCATATTCGATAATTAATTAAAATGTTAACTGAAACCGACTATCATGTCTAAATTACTTTAACATTAAAATACACCTTATGCTCTTAATTTTATTGTTGATGCACTATAACATCATTGTATACACTTAATTTTATTGAAACACCATAATTAAAATAATTGAAACAAATGGAACCCGTTGAACATGTTTTGGATTTTTATTTTTTTTCATAGAGCAATATATTAACATAAAAAAAACCGAAAGAGGGGAGACAACCGGCAATAATCGGTTGATTGGAGATGACACGGGTGCAGTCACTGCAATATAGAATCCGCCTTATGTTTTAGCTTGATCATATTTAAGTGCTTGATCATATCCAACGTTGCCAACCCGCTCGCTTGACCCACTTTGACTCTGACCCGGTGAGTAAAATGAGCCGCATACACCCGTTGGGTCGACTGCTACAAGGTATCGGATTGGAGGTCAAATTGTGTCATTTTTTTCTTTGGTTTGTGAAATGCGTCTATTTCCCGATTTTTCTTTTCGCCTAACTCAATATTTGGAATGCTTAGTTGAACATTTGAATATTGATGTTATATAAGTGTGTGTGAATTTTCACTATACGTTGGATCTAAGTACGACATGTTACTTTGGTGTAATATTAAATATATGTTAGATGAGATTTCATATAATTTATCAGGATAAGTACAATATAATGACTGTTTTTATATTTCCGGGCTAAAACGGGTGACCCGTTAACCCTTGACCCACTAGCTCGACCAGGTCCAGATCAACCCGAGGGTTGATAACCTTGATCATTTAAAAAAAGTGCTTGATCATATGTTTGAATCAAGGCTTGGGAACCTAATATTATTGAGATGCAAATTTATTTCAAACTATTACAATTAAATTTGTCTCTAAAAATCCGTATGTTTTATTTGAAAATTGTGTTTACTTTTTATTATATTTTTTCATTGGTTTCCAATTCTGACAACAAAAAGAGATAGCTCCTAATGTTTTTAGAGGTCGTTTGGAAGTTGCGATTGTTTTGTTAGATTGTCATTATGCATGTATTGTTTACAATACATCGTTTTTTTTTGTTTTTTTAGCAGAAACAATACATGGATTGTTTCTATGATGTGACAGAAACTATCACTCATTTTGAGTGATTGTTATATCTCAACTTTTAGTTGTGATTGTTGAGATAGTTGAGTTGAGATTTTTTTGTCTCAGCTTTTAGCTGATGCGACTTACACAATCACACATACCAAACGTTGTATTCTACAATGCATCAAATTCGACAATACATGTATAATATTATACATGCATTCTCAACAATACATCTATTTAACAATCGCAACTTCCAAACGACCGAAACAAATATTTTTTGAGTTTTCAAAATTTACTTTCCTTATTTTTAGTTTAAAAAAGTTACCAGAAATTTAAACACCTGTGAGATCTATTTTTGCATTCTCCTTTTATTTTAATACTTTCTCATTTTTCATCAGTTACCTCATTCAAATTTTGCTTATTTTGATTTCAAACAATCGACCATTATTCAGATTTATTTTTCAGGTTTTCAGATTTCATTCCTCGGAACTCAACATCTTCATTTTCTTTAAAAATGTTTTCTTTTAGGATGTGCCTACGATGCCATGCATGTCATGGTGACTTGCACTTTCCGGTCGACCTCAATTAGGATTAGGTCGACCTCATTTAAAATTTGGTTGACCTCATATAGGATCTGGTCGACCTCATTTAGGATTCGGCCGACCTCATATAGGATCAGGTCGACCTAATCTGTTGTTTCAGTGTAAAAGCAACTCATGGTGCCTATTGTGGATATTCATATCATACAATTGGCTAGATGGAAATTGAAGACTAATTACTTGTTTTGAAGCTGGAGTGTCTCTCTACATATTGAAGTGGAAGAGAGCTCGATAGGAAGTCCAGAAGACCATTTTTTAACCTCATCAAAAGGCTATGCCAAAACTGGGAAACTGCCTGGAAATGGCTAAGTCTGGAAACGTGTTTGTGAAGCCTATTTTGGAGCTCAATTGGAGAAGCATGAATGCGAGTCGAGTTCAGGAGCCTCTACCACGTTAAATTAGGTATATTTTTATACAAATTCAAGGCATTGGATGAAAGATTGGATATCTGTACTGTAAGGCTTCAAATAAAAGGGTCGAAGTTGCTACGAAGGCTGTTTTTCTGGCAGACTTCGAGCACAAGCAAACTGCCAGAAAACAGCCTTTGTAACAACTTCGAGCCTTTTGTTTGAAGCCTTAAAGATATTCAATCTTTCATCCTATGCCTTGCCTTTGTATTATAAAATACGTAATTTAACGTGGTAGAGGCCCCTGGACTTGACTCGCATCGATGCTTCTCAAATGGAGCTCCAAAGTAGGCTTGACAAACACGTTGCCAGACTTAGCCATTTTCAGGCAGTTTCCCAGTTTTGGCATTGCCTTTTGGTCAGGTTCAAAAATGGTCTTCTGGACTTTCTATTGAGCTCCCAAGTACTTTAATGTGTAGAGGGACACTTCAGCTTCAAAACAAGCCTTTAATCTCCAATTTACATCTAGCCAATTGTAAGATATGAATCTCCAAAGTAGGCAACATGAAACTGTTTTTACACTGAAACAACAGATTAGGTCGACCTAATCCTATATGAGGTCGACCGAAAAGTGCATGTCACCGTAGCAAAGTCCTTTCTTTTATCACAACCAGAAGAAACGAAATTGAACAGGTGTTAACCTTTGAACTTATATACCAAGGTTAATTTTTGTATTGGCAAGTTCTGCAATATTTGAAATTCATTTTAACCGTACCTCTACTAAGTTTGACGAACAAAACCCGAAACCCAATGCTAGGGATGGCAATGAGCAGGAATGAGTTGGATGCTATCAAATTCGAATCCAAACTCATGGATATATCCACTACAAAAACTTGAGGTAAAACTCAATGGGTTTGGAAAACTCAAACACAACCCAAGCAAGTTCATGGATACTCATAGATTGTATAAATGTACAATAACTTCATATCAATCTTCCCATACAAATTATTCGTAGAAAAAATACCAGTATAGAGCATACAAGCAAACAACAAACTATCCATACAAATTGGTCAACATTAAAAATAAACATTTATAAACAACATAATTAATTGAAAGCTTCTTCCTCCTTGTCAACTAAACTTCTTCACTCTCCATTCCATAATATCAACTTCATTCAATACAATAATGAAGAACAAATCAAACGGGTACGAGTTGGAACGTATTGGATATGGCTAAGCCCGAACCCAACCCACAACATAATAGAACGGGTTTAAACCCGAACTCGACCCGTTCTCCGTCAACACAGATTTTACCCGCTTTGACCGGGTTGGATAGAGTAGGATCTCCGTGCATAGAATTATATTGTCACCCCTACCCAAGGCACGTTACACTGAATTCTGCTCAGGAATCAGGGTTAATTGCAAGGATGGTCACTGGGTTTACCAAAACCGTTCATGTTTGGTCACTGCAAATATTTAATTTCATTCATGGTCACTAAGATTAGTTCAATAGTTCAAGTTTGGTCACTCTCCGTTAGTCTCTGTTAGTTTTTGCTGATGTGGCAGTCAACTACTATAGTTGACCGTTAAATGAGTGACGTGGTCATTAAAAAATAATAAAATTTAAATATTTATAATTTTCACCTCATTTTACAACGGTTAAAAAATAAAAATAAAACTTATCTGGCAGTGGACCATCCCCTTCTTTCCAACACCCAGCTAGCAACACAAGCCATAAGGACAAGAGGTTTTGGAAATCGCCAGTTTCAACGAGGTTTCTTTGTTTGAAAATCGCCAGTTTCAGATCCCCGACGATTACGTAAGGCCCCTGCATTTGGATCTCGGATAAATCCCTAGAACTCAGGAATTTGTACCGCACCGACGTAGTCATCGTCGCCGCCATTGTTTTAGGGTTTCCTTTTTTTTTCTTCTCTAAACCAGATTATGCCGAAATCAAAATCAAGCTTTGCAACGAAGGTATTATTATAACGCAGCACACAGAGAACCAGGCAGAGACGGGTATGAATGAACGAACGAATAACAAACACGAAATCGGAAACAATAGCGAGAATCTTCCGTTCAGCAGATCAATAGTGATAACTGATAATAATCGGAGAACGAACAAATTTTTTTTTCACAATCGGAGAAGCGGAAAATAACAATAGTAAGCAATCCTGTTGCAAACTAAGAAGCAATTACAATTTTTTTCAGATCACAGAACTTTGGATCTGGGAAGCGCCGAGGATATTGATCTCCGTCGTCTGAATAGGGGATGGTCCGGTGGCAGAGGAGGAGGTAAGTTTTATTTTTATTTCTTAATAGTTGTAAAATAAGGTGGAAATTGTAAATATTTAAATTTTATTATTTTTTTAATGACCACGTCACTCATTTAACGGTCAACTATAATAGTTGACTGTCACATCAGCAAAAACTAACGGAGACTAACGGAGAGTGACCAAACTTGAACTATTGAACTATTCTTAGTGACCATGAATGAAATTAAATATTTGCAGTGACCAAACATGAACGGTTTTAGTAAACCCAGTGACCATCATTGTAATTAACCCCAGGAATGAGGATGACTAATCATGCAAGAACTGAGAGAGCATTCAGATTAGCCTTTTTTTCAAACGGGCTATTTGGTACACATGGCTTCTATAATCTATACTTGGGGTATAGAGAAACTAACCCATAGCACGTTCTAAATATTTGATTGAAGGCAGAAACAAAACCTTTGAAACCTATATTACAAGAAGGTAGTTTTACTACTTTATGTGAACTTATGAGAACCTACAGAGGATTGCTTGCATCTTATTATACACAACCAACTTTCTAAAAGAACCAAAGAACAACAATAATGGACATTCTACTACAGGCTACTAAGACTACCAAGTGTGGCCTTCCCTTTTCTCTCTCTCAGCAAGATTTTGATAGAGAATTTGCTCCTTTCTTCTTCTTCTTCCTCCAATTCATCATCATCATCATCATCATCATTTCATTTGAGTGGGAGTAAGAGAAGGAAAAGAAGGTATGGACTGCAATATCAGCTTCTTCCTGCCACTCCTACGCCCAGGAGATGTTGAGGAAGCTGAGGTTGAAGTTCCCAAGTTATTGTGGTGTGGTGGAGATACCCTCTTGCTGTTTGGTGAAGAAGATACCTTGATTCCCATACCAGGCGAGAAGCTGCTGCCTCTCAGGATTTCTGGGATATCATCATCACAAATCCCCTGAAACGGTCTGTTTTCAAGCTTGGATTGAGTTTTGAAGATGCTCGGTTTCCCGAAGTTGTGGGTCTGGTATAATCCATTGGATGAAGATGATCCAATTCCAAGAAGAGACCTTGGTGGTTTGATGATAGCTGATGAAGAATATGGCATCTGAACCAAAGTTCTGGTGGCAAGTGGACAGGAAAATAAAGGGGGAAACGATCAGTAACAGAATGAAAATGTTGGGAGTTGGAAGGGAAAATCATTAGTAGTTCAGAGAAGTAAGAACCTGGAAAACTGCAACGGAGTTGCAGGGAGACCGGAGTTCATGTTTTGCTCTTCAATGGTCTGGTTATCGTTCTGCTTTGCTGAAATTTCTAATGCATTTTTCTCCTTGGCTTCTGTATCATCTTCTGGCTCGGTTTCTGTTTCTGGTAAAACAGAACCTGGTCCAAGTAAAATGCATATAGAACTGTTAGAACATGACTTGTTGTAATGAAGACTTGAAGAGGGTTGTAATCAGTTTTAACTAGTTCCAGGACGAAACAGAAAGTGCATCTCACCATCTTTTCTGCCAAATGCATTCTTGCAGCCTTCACACCGGCAGTTAATGGAGCAGCCAACTCCACCCTTCATGATATTAAAAAATAATTTACAGCAAATCAGTACTGTAACGAAGGCAATCAATCCCAGGCACATGAAACATGTCAAGAAGAAGCCAGAAAGTACCTGGTAGCATTCACAGTATTTTTTCAGACAACTTGATTTCTTGCAGTTGCATCCTCTCTTGTGTCGAGCTGAGGCAGGTGTTTTAGTGGACTCGTCCTGTGTTTAAGTTAACAAGCACTCTGGTTTTGAGAAACTGGAACCCGGATTAAGAAAAGAGATGAAAGGTGTATAAACAGCTGCTTTACCCCAATTTCATGTCCTGGTTCAGAGGTCCTAATCACTTTAGGAGCAAATGCAAGTGGGTTGCGAGACTCAATCTGCTTACGAGTTGACAAAACTGTATCTTCATGAATGGGCTTATTGAAGCAATCTTGACAAGAACATGGTTCAATGCAATAGACCCCAGCAGCAAAACATTCACAGTAGCTGCACACATAAATAGGAGAACGGGGAGGTGAGATCTCTAAAACATCATCGATGCTAATTCAACCAAGCTATAGTATAGAGGTATTGACAACTTACAGCTTCAAACACTTGGACTTCTTGCAGTTACAGCGCTTACATGCCTCAGGTTCGCCTTCCACCTTGCGCCTATGACAAGGCAAAACATACAAGGTAGAACTAATCACAAACAGGACTTTTGGTTGGGTGTATTTTGACAGACTGATGTTTGCAATATCATGCAATTGAGCAAATATTCCGTTAGGGAATAATAACGCAACTTGAAGGAACATACCTTTTCTTTTTGGGACTACCAGGTCCAAACTGTTCATTAACCAAATAAGCAGATGCAGGAGAGACATCCTCAGCAAGTGCCACATCATTCTCAGTGGGATCCAAGCCCCTTTCCATGGAGGCTAAAGTCAATGATTCAAGAAACTCTTGAGCAGTTGTTGGAGAGTGGAAGGAGTCATCAGAACTCGGCAAACTTGGTCCAGAGGACAAAGCCTCATTGACACTGTTTCTTCTGTTATTGGAACTTATTGCCAGGGAATTCAAGTGCAAACCAATTCCAGGTACAATGATTTTTGAGGAATCACTGCTAGGGTTGAAAGGGACCAGTTGCTTATTATCTTCAGAAGCTATCTTCTCTTCTATTTGCTCCTGTGTAGCCATTGGGTTCTTCCTACGAGTTCCTACCATTTCAAAATCAAGACAGCGCCTTCTCATGCCACGATAAAGATTCGAAGCAGCAGCAGCAGCCTGCAAAACCACACAACTCTATCATCCAGTCAACATTTCAAACATATTGGAACTAAAATGAATTTTAAAGTGGACATATTTCACCTCACTATTGCTAGACATGCCATTATTTTTATTATCTTCCTTCACCAAAATAGTTTCTCCTGGTTGAGTAGAAGGCCCTTCCATCTCCTGCTGGCCAACTGAATCATCAGCGGGAATGTGCAAATCAGTCAAGGAGGCAGAAAAGACTGCATTAGGGCCTAATTGTTTCTGCATGAGCCCTTTATAAGCCTCGGTGTCAGCAGGGGAGTTGAAGATCAAGAGATCAGCAGCATCTATCAAACTATCCCAATCGCATTCAGCAGCACCATCATTACTTTGCTGCCGAGTCTGGTATGCCTCCAAGCCTCGAGGCTCGCTCTTTTGTGAAGCTTCACTTGTAAACTGACCACCTGATTCGAATACTCCAACTTGTTGAGGTTTCTGCTGGACACCAGGGCTACCACAGTCATACTCTAATGACTTAGGTAGGTCGACTGAGGCATCTGAAATAAATACCACTGAATCATAATTCTCCTGTGGCTGGGAAGACCTGTCATCGTATAAATGAACCACATCCACAGCAATTCCTTCATTGCCATCATCTACTTTCTTCACCGCGTCAGAAGAAAGTTCCAGCCTTGACGGATCCGGGAAACTGTGCCTGTGTATTGAGAGAACAAGCCAAACAAATGAATATGCAGGATTGTTGTCTGAATAAGGTACATGATGGTGGAGAACAAGGTGTTGTTATGTTACCTTTTAAGAAACCTGGATTCCTTGTGGGAGGTGACATGAGGTGAAGTGAAAATGGAGGGTAAGGATGAGAAACTAAGTGAATGGAATGTTTGAGTTATGTTGAGTGACTTGACTGGCTTGATTGGAGAGAGGCTGTTGATGTAGTTAAACACTGGGGATTCCTGCAACAATGGTAGTCAACACACACAAAAAGTACACAATTCAGGAACAAAACTTAGCAATCAAGAGTAGAATAATGACACCCGTTGAAATTTGAGAACTGAGATGTAGCACTGAGTTTGCTAGTTATGCAGCAGTCACTCCAGTACTAATTAGAAAGTGGGAAGAAAAAGGTGGGTTGATGTAGCTAGTTCGTAAATATCAACAAATATAGCTAGGTCAGAACGAGGACAAGATCTTAAGCAGGAAGCTGCTCTAACTCCAAAAATTCCTGCAGATGCAGAGACTCGAGCCTAAGAAGCGACCTAGATGACAATGCATTACATCAAACATCATAAATGCACAGGCAAACACAGACCTTGTGAGAAAGCACGAGTACCCAGAAGTGAGAAATTAGGGAAAATGAAAAAGAGTGCTTAAACTCTGTAAACTTCACAACTTAATTAGAAGAGAGATCTACCCATTTTACAACCAAGGCATGGAACCCAGAATTAATCAACTAACACTCCAGATACCCAATTTGAATGGAAGGTCAACCCTCGTCAACCAGCCAGATTTGGCCGGATTCCAGAGGCAAACTGAAAGAACCCATCAAAACCCAGAAACTCAATTCACTCACCTCGAACTTCGAGAGCGGAGAAGCAGCGATCTGGGTCTTCTGCGGCGTATCCATGGCGAGAGACAGAGTTGGAATGGAGAGGCAGGCTAACCCCTTACCCACATACGCAGAGTGAGTCCACTCACTCAGTCAGTCTCTGCTGCTTATTCTTCTTCTTCTTCGGCAGCGAGCGACGACTACATCCGACTTCCTCAATCCATGAATCGAAGATGGGTTTTATGTGGGTTATCCTTTTTTGTCGGCTAGATGGGGGATGGATGGATGAGTTTTTTAAGGAAATGGGTGGAAGAGGGAAGGAATTGGAAGGCCGAAAGAGAAAGAGAAAAAGGGTAGATTCAAGCAGAAGCGGGAAGGCGGGAGAATTCCCTAATTACTTTATCTCCAGCGTCAAGAGAAAATAGAAAACCCAATAAACCAAAGAAATTTCACCTCTGGCTTACGAGCCGGCCCCGCCATTGTTGGTAATTGTTATTAGCCCCACCACAGCAACAACTTTCACCTTTCTCCCTTGTCTCTGCTCTGGCGGTGATAATAATTAATTATTGTATTAATTTTTCACCTCGCCATTGCCGTTCCCCTCTGCTGCTTCGTCTCCCCGTAAAAGAAAGAAAAACAATACAACTACCGGTTCCCAAAAATTGCTCACTTACTCTCTTTCTTCTCTGTGGTCTGGTCTGGTCTGGTAGAAGAAAGGAAGGAGCTTTTACTTTTTCAAAAGTAACGGATTCTTGATTTTGGGAGGGATCTTCTCTTCTTTTTTTCTTTTTTACTACCCTTTGCTTTTCTCCATTTTTTTCCATTGTTGTTTGTTGGGTGGACAAAACAGAAACTCTTAAATATTCCACGTTTTGACCGCCAATGTTTCTAATGTTTGTTTTGGTGGTTGTCGATGATATCATCCGAAAATAAGAAATTTTCTAGTTTTTAATTAATTGTCAAGATAGACCTACTTATTCTCAATAATTAGAAGTTACGCCAAGCAATTGAAATTTTGTAGTCTTAAAGTTTATACAAATCCATTATATCACGAGTGTAAATCAAGAATTTGATATGAGAAATAGTGAGGATTTCAATATGTGACATCTCGACTATCGATTTGGGATATGAGCATCGGCGGATTTTGGGCTGGGCCAACCCGAGCCACGGCCCAGCCCTCCGCCGGATCCAGAGCTAGTATAGAGCTTATAAATTTTTCGATTTAGGGTTTCGGCCTAGTATTATTTAATGGTCGGTCGAGTCTTATTTGATAATAATTTTGTGTAGTTAGAAAAATGGTATAGATGAACATATGAAAATCATTACTCTCAATTTAGTTTAAGAATTCTAGCCCGAATGATTTTCATTTGAAAAAAAAAAACAAAACCTAAAAGTCTAAAATGTAAAAGAATGTATAAAGTTTCATTGAAATAAGAAAACCCTCTAAACAAATTGATTTGTGGGTTGATTCGTCTAGTGTTGACATTGCCCGTTTCAGCGGCTACCGTGGAGAAAATATTTTAAGCAATGAAATATGTGAAAACTAATTTTGAGTAAATACAATTTATTAGTTAAACCTTTTAGACTTTCCAAATTATTAGCCAAACCTTTCGAAATACAAAATATTAGCTAAATATTTTGTAACGCATCAAATTATTAATCATTTGTCTATTATCGTTGGTAATCTTGTAACTATTTTTTTATTTGGAATACTAAAATTTAAAAATATTGACTATTTTTGTTTACGGTATATAATATTATATTGAAATACGGCCCAGTGCTCTACTGTGTTCTCGATCCGCCGCTGGATATGAGCGGCAAAAATTGTTCGGTTACAAGAAAGGTGTTTTGATTGAGATTTTTTAAGAATGGGAATTTATAATGTATGTTGAATTAAATAGGGGGTCAAACATGTTGAAATGGGGAGTGGAATTCACGAGAGCATGACGGGAATTCGGTACAAATTATTGTTGTTATGGTGACAATTCATGACCATAAAGGAGCATGAATGCGTGATTATAATTGAGGATAAGAACAGAAATATAAAATTGCATTATACTGTGGTATATTGTTGTTGCCGTTAGGTCAAAAATATCAATCTTTTTGTTCGTCCGTTAGGCTGTAATTTACACATTGAATTTACAATTTAGTCAAATGATTGCATTAAAATGGGTTTAGTGCAGCGTTAATAACCATTGGTTATGTATTTAAGCGGGGTCAGATGTAAGCGATGATTTTTTTTCAATCGACTTGTATCTTATTTGTTTTAATTTGAATTCTAATTTTTTCCACATATGAAATGGGTGCATTGTAATAAACGGAATGATATATATTTTGAGGAAATCTTTTTCACACTAACTCACCAAACTTAAATTTTGAAAAAAAAAAATTGCACAGAATAAAACAAGTTTATCTTGATCTACAAATTTTCGGAGAAAATTTACCACCTTGTAAGTGGTAACGGACTAACGGGTAGACGGTGGTGAGATGAATAAATGATGATTGATATGTCTTACTACATGTATACAATCATTACACACTATGAATATTCATATCATCATCGTACACTTCTATACTATCATATTATAAATATTATTTACTGCCAAATATTATCATTCATAGTAATTAGGGGAAAAGTTATGCATGACCAATAAGTAAGTTGGTCACTGACTATGACTGTTACGGTCGAGAGTGTTGCATTCTCCTAGATAAATATAGAGATTTTTTATTAAATATTGTATGGTTTCGATCGACTAAATCATGTGTTGCTGATTAACGAACCGTTGGTACAATTCGATAGTGAGCATTTTTCGCTAGTGCACTTTTCACGGTAACTCACATCACTCTAATTCGATATATCTCCAACTAATTATACGATGTTACTAACATGATAATGTATTCGATTCGGCTCATCAATACAAACAAATAAGATTGAATTCCCTTACGGGCGGGGCGTAAGTTGATAATATGAAATACAAATTGCCAGCGGGACTAGTTTAATTAATTATAACGCTGCAAATAATAACAGTAATAATGACGGTGGTGGTAACTAACATGCATGCATGGGTAAAATGAGAAGAGAAATCACCGCCACCGTAGCGGCGTAGAGTAGTTTTGGGGGTATTTATTTTTTATCTGAAGAGGATTAAAAACCCCAATGCAATGCAATTATGTGGGCGCATGAAAATCTCGTGACAATTCCACCACCACAATCCGTGAAATTAGTAAATAGCAGGAATTTTTTATTCAAAAAAAGAAGAAAAAAGCAGGATTTTATTTAAAATTAATGGGGTAGTGGAGAATGCAATGCGCTGTGTGACATTATTAGCAGTAAAACTCACATGACATCTACCGTTGGATGTTGGACTGGACTGGGGCCTGGTCTGGTCTGGGCCAAATGTAATTATTATTTACTTACTTTTATTGCGAAGACGTGGCAGCAAGAGAGGTTGGGCCCTGGGCCCACAATACAAGCAGCCGGATCCAGTAGTGTTCCTCCAAAGCAAGGAAGGAAGGAAAGAGCTGCCTCTCGTCGTGACGTGTCATGTCCCCACTGATATGGTGACATGGCTTTCCACCGAGAGTGACACCAAGGTTTCAGTTTTGGCGCGCTCCCATATTTCAAAAGGTACTACAGGTAAGTCGACCCATTTCATATTTCATTCCCCCGATTATAAATATCTACACATTTATAACGGGTCTCCGATTGTTAAGTTGGTATATTGTGATTAATACATGTATTGTTGAATTTGATGTATTGTAGATTACAACGACATTTGGTATCTGTGTTTGTGTTTTCGATATGTTGAAGGGAAAAGTCACTTTTTAATGGAAATGTCGGGCTTGGACCCCTGCTTGTATTGTTTAAAATTCATAAATATCATCATTTGCAAATCTCAGGTCAAGATTGTTTAAACATCCATATAGACCCAAAATATTTATATACATCTTGTAATAGTAGTTTGATTAAAGTTCACTTGAAATTCGATACTTAAACAAATCTATTTTTTTATACAATCTCATATTTACTAAGAACCTTAAAACAATTATATCAATGATATTTTTCGATTATACAAATCTTATATCGCACTCAACATGCAGTTTGCAGAGGAGTTTGCACCAATATAATACACACTTGCAAGCTTGTATTTGATGAAATTCAAAATACAAGTCACATAGAAAAATAACCAGGAACATTGTTTTTTTTTTTTCGTGTTCGATGATGGTTGAAAAATGATAGTACCTTCTTCATAATAGTTAGGTTAGGTCGATAGCAGGCATGACTTTAGTGGGCAGGCAGAGAGGTTAGCCCCTCTCGTTCGATATAAAAGGAAGGAGAATATATACTATAACCGTTGAAAAAAAAAAGTAAAAGAAGAAAAATATGAAGCTGATAAGTAGACCTTATAATTTACAAAAGGGTTGCATTGCAAATAAGTTTGTTGGCTAACTTCACATCCAAGTTGTAAAGACAAATTTAAAGGGGACGGTCTACAATATCTATATGGCTCTTTCACCAACCCAAAATCACAGTATATGTGTATTTAACTTTGGCGGTTCGCTTGATGTATAAGAAACGAATTTTGGCATCTATCTTTATTTTCAAACCCTTTCCTTTCGTAATAAAATAAATAAATAAAATATCCCCATTATATAATTTGCGATAAGAGTAGATTAAGACTAGGATTAGATAGCTGCTTGACTAATATATATATATATATATGATGCAGTACAACTGCTTCCCACTTAATCCAAATGGACATTTTGTGAGTTCTTATTCAATCAAGCATTACTACTAGCTCATAGTGTGTAATTGATATCCTAACTAACACCATGAGGATACATATTATTGTAAGGAACGAAACAAGAGTGGTCCTTTTCTTTGTGATCAGAGAGCGGTAATGGCCGGCACCAACTCACGTGACGCTATTCATCCCTATAGCTAACTCCTTGGCCATTGGCAACAGTGGGGAATTTATTAATTGGATAACATCCATAGGCCACACAGTACTGGCAGGCAGGCGAGCGGCCGGATTATCAGACGCTACGACTAGAAGTTACAGGGTTTCGTTGCAGCTGGTTAGCGAGTAGGGTTCAGGGGCAACGCTCCTGGCCCATGGTATATGGGCTCAATGTTATTTTGGGTTCGTGTTCTGAAGTCTAGTCTGTAATCAGTGGCGGACCCAGAAATTTTTCATAGGGGTGTCCTCTTTTAAAAAATAAATTAAATAAAAATAAAATCATAAATATGAAAATAACTTACTCGTACAGGTTAAAAAAGTCCATGATGCGTTTTCATATTCGAAAATAATTGTAGAATACACTTGGTGTTTATAGTGTTAAAAAAATTCTCTATATACCCTACTAGACAATCATTCAGGAACTTATCGCATATTCGATTTGTAAACTTATTCGATTTGTACAATCATAAAATCAATACAAATTAAGGGTAGATTGAAATTAGTTTAATTGTTAGGGTTTTAAAATAATTAGAGATAGAGAATGACTTTTTACTATTACACATTGTTCAAAATCGAACAACAAATGAGTTGTAGCTCAACGGAAATTAAGTTTATTAATAATAATAGTGTTCTAGATTTGAATTACCCAACCTACCATTTATATTTTTATACACAAATGATAGTAGGATAATCATTTTTTCAAATTTTAGGGGTGTCCCTCACTATCAATTATATTTTTTTGTCTAGACGTAAATTACCACCGAAAGTTGGATAATCATTTTCCCGAAATTTAGGGGTGTCCGGGGACACCCTTGAAACCCCCTGGGTCCGCCACTGTCTGTAATTGCTTTTCCTATACCATACAGGGTTAGACTTAGCAGAAGTACTGTAATTCTGTAAATACTTCTCATACTTTTATATGTAATTTGTATTTCCTTGAATTATAGTGGAACTGGCTCTTTCATGTCCGTGGACTAGCTAACATACATTTGTGTTAGTGAACCACGTAAATCGTGTATCGTGTGTATACTTTCGTTTTCTTGCATTATCGAATCCTTCAATTTTCTGATATTCGCAGGAGCAACAGTCGTGACAGCTGCTATTCCGTCACACCAATACTTCATCTATCTATATGACTATGAGAACCTTTCGATTGGGCCCTCACGCGCAATTCTGATCGTTGGAGCATGCAGATAGTTAGTAAAATACGGTACGGGAAAGTTACGTATAAAATATGTACGAGTATTTTACTTCGTCTCTATGCTAATATTACGTTTAATAGTACGTTAATTGTCATAAATATTGAAAAATTAATTATTTTAAAAACAAATAAATATATTAATAATAGTAAAGTTAATAATTTAACTCATTAAATACGGATATTAAATGTGTTATACGAGTTTTATATGTGTTTTGTTGGGGATGTGGCTCGGATCCAGTCGCGCGAGCAAGGAGGCCGAATGAACTTCCAGCAAGCAAGGGGATGACCGCAAATGGCAGAGGTATCGAGCGCCGTCGTTTTGATCCTGCTCAGACCGACGTCGTTTTACCTCATAGTTTGATATCGCCCAGGCCGACGTCGTTTTGCATCGTCCAAAACCAGCGTCGTTTTAGCCTCACTCAAGCCAGCGTTGTTCTGCCCTGCCTAGGACAGGGAAGGAAGATGGTAAGGATAGCGCCGCAGTCTACGAAGGAAGGGTCATATCTTGAGTCAGGTCCTAGGAATAATTATGGCCTAAAAGCATGGCCTAAGTTCCTGACACACGTTGTAGTCTTATCACATTAAATACCCACTACTGTAATGTACTATAAAAGGGGCATTTACGACGGTAGGTAGGGGATCGGTCTTTTGATTCTCTCACAAATAAACATTCACTTCTCTCTCTAGCTAATTTCCTCTGTTATTCCTTCCTCTCTACCGAAAGTTCTCGTCAGAAACAAGTCACCATAACGCATCGCTTGCTCTACCCCCTCCTCCCTCACGAGTCTCACTCCTACACTCAATTAGGCTCAAACAATTGGCGCCCACCGTGGGGCATAGTAGGGAAGCGATGGAAAACCAACTAACGACGGAGCACAATATCAACTCGCCCAGCAAAACGACACCCATCAAAGCTATGACGAACGAAAGGACACACGCGGAGACCAGCAACTTCAACGCGGTACTCATTGAAGAAGAAGAGCCCGAGCTGACGCCCAAGGAGATGAGGCAACAGATGGCTAAGCAAAACGAAGTCATTGCCGACATGCAGAAAAAGATGAACCAGGTTATCGCGCTCATGATGAGCAAAGAGTCCGCGCAACCCAGTCACACGCCGCTGACGGCGCCCGACGCAACCGCGGAAAACGTCCCTCCACCGCAACAGATCCCGGTCATCATGTCCGCGGACGAGGCACCCCAAGCGGAGCCGCGCCCTAGGGCGGACCTCAGTTTCCTGGAGCAACATCTCTCTCCACAATACCGCCCTCACCCCCCAAGGAGAATCCTCCACCAATCGCTAAGCGCGGACATAATGGCGGAGCACTTAAGCGGAATGCCGCCTGCTCTCCCCACGTATAACGGTACGACGGACCCAGAAGACCACGTCAGCACGTTTTGCCTCAGAATGCAGCTCCAAACCAATTCCAACGCGGCACTATGTCGGACCTTCCCATCAACGTTCTCCGGCATATGCCTCGACTGGTACAACAGACTTCCAAACGGAATCATCAGCTCCTTTGAGGAGTTCATACTCCTCTTCACTACCAAATTCGTGTCACAAAAAAGGAGACCCCTACACCTCAAGGCCTTGATCGACATCAGGCAGAAGGATGGGGAAAGCCTACGCGCGTTCTATGCCAGATGGTCAAGAGTAGCTATGGCGGTGCGCGACCTCACTCCCGAAACCGCCGCACATCACCTCATGGACGCTACGACCAGCATGGAGCTCAAGCGTGCCATAGCAAAAAGGCCGGTGACGCTGTCAACAGAGCTCGAGGCTAAGATCGAAACGGCTATCACGCTGAAGGAAACTCTTGGCGCAGGTTCTGTCAGGCGTTTTGAACCTTCCAAGCCGCCCAGGGAAGACCAAACGCGGAAACAACTTTCGGTGCCCCGAGAACAGTTACTACAAACCCACAGCGGGTCCAGAAGGCAACTCGCTCCGCCAGAACAAGTCCCGCGAAGACGTTCCCCCGATAGGCGTCAGCAGAACACGATGCCCACTTACACACCGCTCAACGACTCCGTAAAGAACGTATTCCATGTCCTCCGTGAGAAGGGATACAAAATCAATTGGCCCACGCCTGTCAAAGTCGCACCTCACCTGCGCAACCCGAACAAACATTGCGAGTTCCACAGGGAAACGGGTCACTCAACGGAGGACTGCAGGGAACTAAGGTACGAAATAGAGGGGCTCATCCGAAGAGGACTGCTGTCGCAGTTTGTTCACGGGGCGGAAGGATAGAAAGAGCCGCACGAAAATCCTCCGCCTCCCCCGCAACCGGAATACAATGAAACAACCGGCGCTTACCTAGTGCGAAAGGAAATTGGGGTGGTGACGGTTGAGGGGAGCCGCCCAACCAAGAAGACCAAGCGCGAGCGCGCCATGGAATGCGCATCGTCAGAGGTGCGCCCAAGGTGCCACTTAAGTTTCGACGACTCAGAATTCCCCCAGGGAACCCCATCAGAAGACCCGCTAACCATCACCGCGCTAGTAGCTGCCTGTAAAATTCACCGCCCGACGGAGGGAGCGCGGCAGATATACTACTCAAAAGCACCCTCGACCAAATGGACATCGATCCACGCTTGATCAGACGAGCGGAGGGAAACCTGGTCGGTTTCTCAGGAACGAGGGTCGCGGTAATCGGCGCGGTCACCCTTCCCGTCGTGATCGGAGACCAAGAGCCGCGAGTCTCCAAGCAAGTCGAGTTTACCATCGTCGACTGCAACTCCCACCACAACGGCATCCTGGGGCGCCCATTTCTCGCCAAGTTCATGGCACTGCCGTCGACGTGTCCAAAAGCTCAAATTCCCCACCAAGGTAGGGATCGGAGAAGCCCGAGGAACCCCGTGGGCGACCCCGCGAAGAGAAGAAGAGCCTCGCCAAGAAGAAGAGGTGGCGCGGCTACTCGCGGCAGGGTTGATCCGACCAGTGAAATATCCGAAATGGTTGGCGAATGTGGTCTTAGTAAAAAAATCTTCAGGGGCATGGCGCATGTGCGTCGACTATACAACCTTAAACAAGGTGTGCCCGGGGGATCCTTATTCCCTGCCGTGGATAGACCAGTTGATCGACGCCACCGCGGATCATGAAACGCTATCCTTTCTAGAAATGTTCTCGGGATACCACCAAATCCCGATGTCTCGAGAGGACGAAGAAAAGACGGCATTCATGACGCCATTTGTCAACTTCTGCTTCGTCGGAATGCCGTTCGGCTTGAAGAACGCTGGCGCGACCTACCAGCGAATGATCGACTCAGTGTTCTCGCGACAGATTGGGCGGAACATTGAAGCGTACGTGGACGACCTCATCGTCAAAACCCAAGCAGGCAACTCACACCTGGAAGATTTGAGCGAGACTTTCGAGGCGATGCGCAGGCACAGCCTGCGCTTGAACCCTCTAAAATGCGTGTTTGGAGCAGAAGCAGGAAAGTTTCTGGGGTTCATGATCACAAAGTGCGGAATCGAGGTTGACCCGAAACAAATAACCGCCGTCCAGCAACTGCGAGCGCCGAGGAGCGCGCTGGAGATACAGTCTTTGAACGGCAAGATAGCGGCGCTGGAAAGATTCATACCAAGGTCAGCTGATAAGTGCGCTCCTTTCTTCCAAACGCTCAAGAACGACGTGCGATTCGCATGGACGCGAGAATGTGAAGCAGCTTTTGCAAGAACTCAAGACATATCTTGTATCCCCACCTGTACTATCTGCTCCCAAGCTTAATGATAAACTCTTTCTGTACCTTGCTGTGTCAACGAGAGCCGTAAGCGCAGTGCTAGTGTCCAGAAGGGAGGGCCAGACTGAGCGGCCTGTGTATTACACGTCGCGTACGCTGGTGAGCGCGGAAACGAGGTACTCCCCAATTGAGAAAGTAGCCCTCGCGCTGGTGAGCGCCTCACAGAAGCTACTCCCTTACTTCCAAGCACATCAAATCACGATCCTGACCAACCTTCCACTCAAAAAAATCTTGTCCTCGATGGAAGTGTCCGGGCGGATGGTCAAATGGGCGGTCGAATTGTCCGAGTATGACATCCAATATGCCCCGAGGCCCGCGATAAAATCTCAGATCCTAGCAGATTTTATCGCGGAGGGAGTCACCCTTGACTCCACGCCAGAGGGGGTATGGGACGTCTACGTAGATGGCACGGCAAGCAAACATGGAGCCGGAGAAGGGGTGGTTGTGCGCGCTCCAACGGGCGCTACGCACGAGATAGCGATCAGGTTCAGGGCACTGAAGACAAACAATGCGGCGGAATACGAAGCAATCTTGGCGGGAATGACGGCCGCCAGTGATTTAGGTGCGAGGATGTTAAGGATCCTTTCCGATTCCTCTTTGGCAGTTAATCAACTGAATGGAACCTTCGACGCGAAGGAAGACGCGCTGGCGCATTACATGGAGCGCGTCAAGCAAAAGGCAAGTACCTTCGATGCAGTGATGTATGCGCAAATACCCCGGGAAGAGAACATGCACGCGGACGCGTTGTCAAAACTGGCAACCGCCACTGACTTCGAATCAACTCGACTGGTATCCGTCCAAAAGGAGGAAGAAGCCAGCCGAGAAGTGGTGGTCAACACCACGCAACTTATACCAGATGACGATTGGAGAGCCCCCGATCGTGAAATACTTGCAAGACGGCGTGGTACCGGAAGATTCTAAAGAGGCGTGGGCCCTAAGGCAAAGAGCGGCCCGCTGCACGATTATCGGGGGAGAACTATACCGGCGTTCATACTCGGGCGCCTACTTGAAATGCATCATCCAAGAGGAAGCCCACAATGTGGTGCGCGAACTACACGAAGGGTTGTGCACAATGCACGCCGGGTCGCGCAGCATGGAACGCACAATCCTGCTGCACAGGTATTACTGGCCGCGAGTAAAAAAAGACACGAATAAATATGTGGACCAATGCCACAAATGCCAAGTGAACGCGCGCCAACACCACCTTCCCTCAACCGAACTCCAAGGCAACCTGAGCCCATGGCCCTTTGCGCAATGGGGTGTCGTCCTCCTAGGTCCCCTTCCAACCGCAAAGGGGAAGCGCAAATACATTATCGTGGCGGTGGACTACTTCACCAAGTGGATCGAAGCGGAAGCACTCGCCTCGATAACGGCACAACATGTGACACGCTTCCTGAAAAATAACATATTGTCGCGGTTCGGAGTCCCGAACGCGCTCATCTTCGACCATGGGAAACAGTTCGATTGTGCGGAGTTAATTGACTTCTGTGACCAAGTAGGAGCAATTGCAAGGTTCGCGTCAGTGGCCTACCCCCAAGCCAACGACCAAGCAGAGTCGGCCAACAAAGCAATCTAACACGGCTTACATACCCGCCTGGGTGACGCTAAGGGCAATTGGGCCGACGAACTCAACACAGTGCTATGGGCACACCGCACAACATATAAAGTTGCGACGGGAGAAACGCCTTTTGCGCTCACATACGGCACTGACGCGGTGATTCCCATTGAGACAACAACCCCAACGTACCGAATCACAATGTACGACGGAGAAACCAATGAAGAGGCGCGCCTTCTAGACCTCGAGCTAGCGCAGGAAAGGCGCGAGTTAGCATCCATCAAGCTCGAAGCAACAATGGAACAGGTAGCTAAGTACTACAACGCTAAGCTGGTCCCTCACAAGCTCAACCTCGGAGACCAAGTGTTGAGGCGGAACTTCCGCCCTGACCCCAAACACGGGAAACTCGCGTCGGTATGGGAGGGCCCGTACTTGATCCGCGAAGTAGTGGGCGCAAACACCTTCAAGCTCAGCGAATTGGGGGGCACGAAAATTCCGAGAACATGGAACGCGCAGAACCTCAGGAAGTACTACAGTCCAGCTTAACATGTATTTGGTCACGATGGTACCTTTATATGGTGGAATAAAACCAAAAGTTCGACAAAGCAAAATAGCAATAATCTCGAATTATTCGCGCCCACACCACTGAACGAGAAACGCCGATGACAAATCGCGCGCACAGTTCACAAAATAGCAATAATCCTGAATTATTCGCGCCCACGCAACTGAACTATAAACGCCGATGGCAAATCGCGCGTACAGTTCACAAACTAGCAGTAATCACGAATTATCTGCGCCGCACATATAAAAAAAAAGAGGAGTTTTTCTTTGGATTCCATTTCACGGGAGCAGGAATTACAATTATCCGCGGGCTAAGACATTAGCGCCACAAAAAAAAAAACATCATCATCATCATCATCAATTATCACTACTCCACTCGCGCATTGTCCGCATTGACAACTTCAATCTCGTTATCCGCCGCCGTAGCGGATCCTCCACCCTCACCTTGGTCATCAGCGCGCTCCTCGTCTTGGTCGTCAACACGCTCCTCATCTTCTCCTTCATCGGACTCGTCCTCCGACTCGGAGTCAAGGGTCAGTGGCTTCTTCTCACGCAGCCACGCCTGCACGTGCTGAACCATCTCGTGAGTTCTCCAACGAACGCCCGGGTTTTTGGGTCGTACCTTCTTACCGACCGCAATGACAGCCTTAGTCATCGCATCCGCCAAGATCTTTGAAAACAAAGAAGAGGACTTGTACTGCCGCACGGCAGCAACCTGTGCCTCGCGAACACCTTCCGCCTTCTCCTGCTGAAATTCTTCGCGGACCTGCTTCAACTTCTCTTCATGACCCGCCTCCAGCTGCGCTTTTTCCTGCGCCCATTCTTCAGCTAGCTTCTTCTTCTCTTCCTCGAACTCACCGCGCAGCGCCCCCTGAGCCCGCTCTGTCACCGCTTGGACATCCTCCGCTAGCTTACTCTGCAAAACTCCCAGCTCCACGAGGGCCTCATTCGCTTTGTTCGTCGCCACCTCCACGCGCCCCTCCGCCCCCGCGAGTGTCCCCTCCAGCTGAACAATCATGGCCGCCTACGCCTTCACTTTGGCGTGATCACGAGCACGCTCTTGTTAGGCGCGGAAGGCGCACATCAGACCCTACGCTCAATCCGCCAAATAACTTATTGTGAAAACGCCAAATAACTTACGAATAAGACGAAGTGAGAATAGTTAAACAAACATACCGCGAAGTGAATTTGGGCAAGATCCTGCAAGGGATCTGATTTCTCCAACCGCGGAGGAACGGTGAGTACCGGGCCAAGAGCGCGGAGAGCAGCCTGAGCGGACTGGCTATTACAGGCCGCGCCGGTGTGGATCAGCACATCGCGATAATAATCGACGCCGGCCATCTCCGTCAAAGTTTGCTGAACAGTCGCCCCAAATGAGCCGCCAGCCGAAGTCCCCTCCGGACGCGGGGGCTTACTCACCAAAGGGACCTGCCTCACTGGCGGAGCCTGCTCAACTACCTGAGGCGGAGGTTGCTCAACCGCTCTCGCTGCCTTAGCCGGTCTGTTCGGGGTTAAGGTCTGCTCAGACTCTTTCCTCTTCGAGCTGCTTGTCCGCGCACCATCAGACTCCTTCCTCTTCGTGCTGCTTGTCCGCGCACCCTCCCTCTCCTTCTCCTTCCTCTTCCTCTTCTCACCGCGCGGGGCCTTCACGACTTCGTCCAGCGACATCATGCTCGACAACGATGAGAAATCAACGCCTGCGCCAATAAGTCGTAAGGCGCCCGTTAATATGATAGAATGCAAGGAAAAAAGGAAATAAAACTAACCGTCCGCAAAAAGCTCCTCCAGAACAGCCGCGCGGACGCCGCTGGAATAAAGATTTATCCTATGAGGCATGCAAGCCTCATACTCATCATCAAGTCCATCATACTTCCCCAAGGCGGATTCGTATCCGCGCAGGCCCCCTTTCTTCCAGACAGTGGGTTCCTCTACATGCTCCTCTGCCCACTCCCCCGAGACAGGCTTGACGAAGAAAAAGCGGGCAAACCAATTCTTCTCCAACTTCGGGGAGCCATAGACAAAGCCGTCAGGCCGCTTGTCTCGCCGCCTAATGGAAAGACAATCGCTCGTCTCGGTCGGCCCCTTAATTTTGTACATCTTCCGGAAAAGACCATAGGTGGGTTGACTACCCAACCTCTTACAGACCAACCGGAGACAAGACGCATGCATAACCACGGACGGAGACACGCGTGCAATAGAACAACCCAAACGCCTGTAAAGGGCGCACAACAATGGGTTGACGGGGAACTTGAAACCCATCCGCCAGTACTCAGAATACACACCGAACCACCCAGGGGGGCAGTTCCCGATTCGGCTACGCGCGGATGGAACGGCGTATTGCCAATTGGGGGGCAACCCTAATCCGCGCACTAGCTCCGTAACCTCCCGCCGCCCGTACACCGAGACATGGTCCGGCCCGCGCACCAAGTTGTCACTGGGAACCTGCCCCTCCTCAAACATCTGTTCCCACTCCAAAATCGTGTACGCGGCCCCTATTCCGCGCACCCTGAGCCTGCTCATCGCCTCGGTCAGGCGCGACACACAAAGCGGCTCAGAGGAGGCCTTCGATGTCCCGGCGGCTTCAAGCGGGGCGGCGCCGGACCCACTAGCACGATCGCGTCGGATGATCAACACCCCCCGCGACTGAGCCGCGCTAGTCTCGACGCCCTCACACTCCACCAAATCTCCTCCAGATCCAGCATCGTACGAGGGCGTCTCGGGAACCCCTCCGTCGCCGCCATCGTCAGACTCGACCAGGTGCATCGCCGGAACTTCCCCACCGCCGCCATCGTTGTCGGACTCGACCAGATCCAGCGACGGATCGGAAGAAACATGAGAGAAGGGAGAAAGATTACCTTCTTCGTCTGCCACGACCACGACCTCGTTGTTCACATCAGCATTAGCCATTTGTGTCTTCAAAAAAGAGAACCACGAACAATTTTGAGATGCAAGATCGTCGGAGAAGAAGAAAAATCTCGTCGGCAAATAAGAACGACGAAAGAGAAAGCAGAAAGCAGAAAGGTTTGAGATGAAAGACTTCTCTCCGAGATAGAGAGGTATTTATAACCCTAGGAGAGGTAACTGAAAGGGTAAAAGGTGCATCGAGAATCGGAAACGTCAATCCAAAATTTCGAAATTTAAAAAGCAAGTAAATAACCGCCCAAACGAGTGAATAACGGCAGGCCACGTCGACACCTATTGATACTAGGGCTAAGTGCTAGCTAGAGGCTAGGCGGTGACGTCACAGGGTACGCACACCGCCTGGGGGGCATGGGTACACCTGCGGAAAAGAAAAAATCAGTCAATAAAAGGGTTCACTCGCGGAACGCACACAACAAATAAAAGCGCCGCCGCGCGCGAGTTAAACGCGCGCGCACCAAGGCGTGTGCACGCGCGTCTATAAATGGATCCGCTCGTGAAACGCGCACAGCGACTGCCGGTTGTGTCGCGCACGGAATCTGGGAGCGCACACGACTGATGGCAACGGTTTACGCGCGAAGAGAAGGAAACGCGGAAAAAGCAGCGCGCACAACAAGTTGTATACATGCGCACCGATAACCCAAGGAAGCGCGGGAAGCGTGAAGAAGCGTGAAGAACCGAGCCACCCACGTGGAAACTAACGGGCGGCATTCACAGAACACCACCTGGTGGGGGGAAATTGTTGGGGATGTGGCTCGGATCCAGTCGCGTGAGCAAGGCGGCCGAATGAACTTCCAGCAAGCAAGGGGATGACCGCAAATGGCAGAGGTATCGAGCGCCGTCGTTTTGATCCTGCTCAGACCGACGTCGTTTTACCTCATAGTTTGATCCCGCCCAGGCCGACGTCGTTTTGCATCGTCCAAAACCGGCGCCGTTTTAGCCTCACTCAAGCCGGCGTCGTTCTGCCCTGCCTAGGACAGGGAAGGAAGATTGTAAGGATAGCGCCGCAGTCTACGAAGGAAGGGTCACATCTTGAGTCAGGTCCTAGGAATAATTATGGCCTAAAAGCATGGCCTAAGTTCCTGACACACGTTGTAGTCTTATCACATTAAATACCCACTACTGTAATGTACTATAAAAGGGGCATTTACGACGGTAGGTAGGGGATCAGTCTTTTGGTTCTCTCACGAATAAACATTCACTTCTCTCTCTAGCTAATTTCCTCTGTTATTCCTTCCTCTCTACCGAAAGTTCTCATCAGAAACAAGTCACCATAACGCATCGCTTGCTCTACCCCCTCCTCCCTCACGAGTCTCACTCCTACACTCAGTTAGGCTCAAACATGTTTAATACGGGAGCCATCAAATGAATGGACAAAAATGAAACAACTTGACAATAATACGGATACAAAAATTTTAAACGGATAAAGTATGTAAAATACATATACATATATTAAATTAAGTATTTACGAACTGCTGGCATCCACAATTCCACATCATCCAACGACTAAGAATGTGTGGGACTTGGATGAAGCGGATCCGGTACATACAGATTTGTATCCATTGATTCAAAAAACAAGTGACTTCTACTTTTCAATCGATAAAATTAGAAGGTGCAAAGATAAACAATAGTAAGTGTGGAGCAATAGAAATGATGTTACTCTCAGAAAATTCCTTAGTAAATAACAAGGTTGTTAAACCAATTTATGGTTTAGCAAGTGTAATAGTTTGACAGACTCATGCAGGTCTGACAAATTATGTAAAAATTTGGGAAATTATTAACATCAAATGAATTTAATCATATATCAAACATATTTGAAGACAATCTACTTACAATTTATATTTATATTTAAATAAAATACGACATTCCAAATAAATTAATAGCAAATACTCATGTTCAAATACAATATTTAACGTCAACTCCTAAAATTTTATACTTGAATCAAACAAATAACATTAACATTTAATTTTTAAATTCTTGAAATAAATTATAAATTATTTTTTTATTAATTTATATTCACTAAAAATACGTCATTTTGTTTAGAGATCATAAGTCAATCGTGTCGGTCATATCAATTGTATATAGGATGATTTAATTTAATAACTGACACCGGTTGAACAAGGTTCAAACGACCGACTTTCGACCCCATGACGACAACCATGGTAAAAAGTAATATATGATCAGTGGCAAAGGCAGGATTCGGAACTACCCTTGTCCTTTTTTCAAAATATAAAAATATAAAAATTTAATAATTAAAATTAATATCCAAATAATTCATTAATAGATAAAAAAAATAAGCGTAATACAATTATTGTTTGTATAAACAACCACGACGAGTTTTCATATTATGAAATAATTACAAAATACATTAATTATTTACACTCTTAAGTGAGCCTCTTTCAATATTCCCACTAAACAATCATTAACAAACTGATTATCAATTCGACTTCGAAACTTGTTCTTAATATATCAATCTAAAAATGCTCTTTTTACGTTCGGAGTTGCAACTGGTAGTATCAAAACTAATTTCAAAAGCAAATAAAATGACCGATATAACCTATCCACTTTTGTCTCCACCATGATCTGAGATCATTTATCAATTTCTTTTAATCCAACAAATCTCTCATCAGCCATAAAATAATTATAATACCCAACAATGTGTCGTCGAATAATAATGTCATGAATGAAACCAATAAATTAATTATTTTTTTACAATTAATGAACAAGTAATGAATTATAGTGTAGTGCCGATATATCCTTATATTACTTGTAGGTGTTGAGTTTATTCTCTATTCAAACATATATATAAGATTATTTTTTCCCCAACCAAAATTTGCCCCTGTCCTGGATAGGGATGGCAATGGGTGGGGTGGGTCGGGTTTTGCCAAACCCAAACCCAAATCCATGGGTTTATCCGTGAAAAAAACCCGGGGGTAAAACCCATTGGGTTTGAAAAACTCAAACCCAACCCAACCCGCTGGGTATCCGCGGGTTCATGGGTACCCACGGGTTTTTGTCGTAAAAAATTTACAATAACATGTTTCTATCAAAATTAAAGTCAAATATCAATCTCTCAATACAAATTATCCATATTTAAAACACTATTCTAGAAAATTCAAGCAAATCACAAATTAACTATACAAATTGTTCAACGCAATCTAGAAAACTCAAGAAAATTGAAGTAAATCATAAATTATCCATAAATAACATATTAATTGAAGGCTTCTTCCTTTCAATTAAGTTTCTTCACTCTCCACTCGATAACACAAACTTCATTCTACACAATTCGAAAGAAAAAATTAGACATGTCTCCACAAACATAAATAAGATTAGTTGTTTAAAATATTAAATATACCGAGAAAATTAATTATATGTGTGGGCGGGTACCCACGGGTCGGGTTTACCTAAACCCAAACCCAACCCAACCCGGTGAATAGTGAACGGGTTTAAACCCAAACCCAACCCAAAACCCGTCAATACGAATTTTACCCGCGTTGACCGGGTTGGGTCGGGTGGGTACCCGTGGGTTCGGGTTTGGTTGCCATCCCTAGTCCTGGAGAAGGGCAAAATGCCCTCCCTCCGCCTATGTATATGATGACTGTATACTGTATAGTATATGTAAGTAGCACACCCACACAATGAAATAGACCTATAGCAATCCCTCATGGATTAATTCCCTGGCAATGGGTTAGAGAAAGCAATACTGATCCACCTATAGGACGTAATTAATCATCTCGTTTGTTTTTGTGCCATCATTCTTTTTTATCATCTCCCAATCCCATCCCCATGGATCCTGCCCTTGCATTCTGTGGAGTGGTCTTTCAACATAGCCATAGGGACTAAAATGACTCATGGGCCGTGACAAAATCATGCTGTCGACCTAGCTTGTGCATATGCTTCGCCCTTTCACTTTCACATTCACTCACTCACTCGCTCACTTTTGCAGCATGCAATCCGCTCACCTGACCTCAACCAAAAGCTTCTGTTTTTGTTGGTTCCACAGACAAAGAGGGTTAAAAGTAAGTAAAAAAAACAAAGAGAGGAAAAGCAACCATATCATACCCTTACTCTGTATTTTCACACACATTCTGATTCTGTGCAATGGGGAAAGAAACGAGCTTTAATTAATTAAGCGACCCTTTCCCAGTACAGCAGAGTTAATTATTTGGTGGCTGGCTAGGAGGAAAAAGAATACAGTACCTACCATGTCAGACTTCTTTTTTTCTTCTTTTCTTTCAAAAGCAGTAATCATCTTGATATGCATATGAAGATTTTAAGTTAACTAATTAGTTGACTAATACTCCCAAAAGCACAGCTCTTTTAATTAATTAAGCTATACACTATGAAGATGCTTTTCCCATATGCAAGAGGACTGAAGAAAAGTCAGGATATAGCAGGTTCAAAGGAGTCTCTAATCATGATTGTCTCTTCCTTCCTGCTCTCTGGGTTATAGTTATACACACTGATTCTGACCCCCAGAGATTCTTTCTTGATTAGTTTCTTTAATACAACAATAATTAAGAGAGCGGCCAGCTGTCCAATTACTGGACTTTTCCCTATGTTGCTTCTAAACAAAGGAATGACTTGCAGTAAATCTTGGAGGAGGCTTTGGAGTTTTGCTCTGACGTCTTCCCCGTCGGCCAACTTTCCAAATTTCGTTGACATGTTGCTAACCCCATATCTATTTGGCTTCTCTCTATTGGCATTATGTAAAATTATAAATACAATTCGAGAGGGTACGTAATTAAAACCAGGTGGATTTTAATACAATATATATTTTTATTATGTTCGGTGGAGAGTTAAGGTTAAAGTCAAGAGGAGTGCGTATAGTATAGTCCATCCTCAAATTTGAAATATAGGTAAAATTACATTTAAAAATTCGTTTTTTTTAAGAAATAGAGTGGTCGATAATGCTTTAGGTTCATCTTTCGAACATCACATTTCAGGTCAGCTCCTAATTCAAATTTCTAACTCTGCCGCTGATTATGTCTTCGTATTATCGGCATGGTGGGTCACATGTGTCTAGAAGAGAGCATCCAGATGAAAAAAAAGTCAAACAAGTCTTCGGAACATGCAGTAAAAAAACATTGATCGTCGGAGGACTTGGGACTTGAGATAATAGCATCCTCGAACCAAAAACGACAGCACGTTGGGTTAGGTAGCGCCACCCCCTTTCTTTTCTTTTGTTTCTCAAACACTAGGCCTTGGTATTGGCGTGGGTCTCTTTTCCCCCGAGGTCATGTTCACGGGCCTCTTCTGCCCCCCATCAAACTCCTGGACTGGGCTCTGGTGCTGGAATGGGCTTTTACTCGCAGACCAGCCCTAAATCTAAGTCTTGACCCATTCAACTGCCCATCTCTCCGTCTGAATTATAATCACAGGTTTTTCTCGTCAGAGACAACAGTATATCCACGTGTCAGTCTTACGTACGGCCACGTAAACACCAGCAATAACGGAGTTCACCTACTCTCCACCACACACAATAACCGCTCCCCCTCATCTCACTCACTCCCCTGCTCTTTGTCGTCACTTTCCTCTAATCATATATCATATGCGCTCCAATTCCAAAGAGCATCTCCATTTCCAATTTTCCATCTCTCCGCCCCCTAATCAAACAAACGATCTGTCTCTCTCTATCTCCGATCCAACGCCGATCGCCGGGGAGGAATCATGCAGTACAAGAATCTGGGCCGATCGGGGCTGAAGGTCAGCCAGCTGTCGTTCGGCGCGTGGGTCACCTTCGGTAACCAGCTCGATGTCAAGGAGGCGAAATCGCTCCTCCAGTGCTGCAGGGATAGCGGGGTTAACTTCTTCGACAACGCTGAGGTCTACGCCAATGGCCGGGCAGAGGAGATCATGGGCCAGGCGATCCGCGAGCTGGGTTGGAAGCGCTCCGATATCGTCGTCTCCACCAAGATCTTTTGGGGCGGTCAGGGTCCTAATGACAAGGGGCTCTCCCGGAAGCATATCGTGGAGGGAACCAAGGCTTCGCTGAAGCGGCTCGATATGGATTACGTTGATGTCATTTACTGTCACAGGTTTGCCCAATTAACTTAATTGTTTACCGCCCTGGTTGTGGTTATTGGAGAAGGATTTTGGGGTTTGATTGGGTTTGTGATTCCTCGATTTGGATCCGATTTGTGGGGGTTCTAAAGCTCTGAGGTGGCTTGATTTGGAACGATCATCTTGATTCCCTGACCAGGGTTCTGTTTTCCAGTGTTCCTCGATCAGGATTTATGGGTTGTGTTTGATCAGAAAGTTTAGTTGGATGATTTCCCGTTTCAAATTCTTTATTTCCCTCTTCGTGTGGTGGGTCTTATGTAGATTTGGCTCTTTTACTCATGTCTGTGGCAACTGTTTGGAATTGGAATTACTTTTCGTACATGGTGGTTCTAGCTTGGAAGTTGGAACGTTGAGTCGGTGGGCTTTTAAAGATCTTAGATAGCTTGATTTGGGACGATTGCGTTGTTTTCCTGATCTGGGGTCTTTATGTACCCCAAGCAGGACTAGTGGACTGTCTGACCAGAACTAGAATCAACGTTAAGAAAGTGCAGTTGAATCCTTTCCCGTTTCAATTTCCTTATTTTCCTCTTCATTAGTAGGTCGTATCTCTTGTTTATATTTGGCCCTTCTGCTCGTGTCTAGCAACTGTTGGATTGTAAATGTCTATTTAGCTGATTTCAGACTGGGCGGTTTTGAATTAGAGGCTGAAACCTTGTTTGTTTCTCTTTAATCTTTGTTGATCACTAAACCCCAGGTAGTCCAGGTGTGGATTGAGTTGAATTTTTCATCTTGCTGAACTTTCTAGCTTTTCTTTTGGAATGGTAATATGAAGTGCACAGTACTGGTCAAAGTCCCGGTTTGTACTTTGTTGGTTAATGTTGTTGTGATTGTTATCACAGGCCAGACATATCAACACCGATTGAGGAAACTGTGAGGGCGATGAATTACGTCATTGACAAGGGCTGGGCTTTCTACTGGGGCACCAGCGAGTGGTCAGCACAGCAGATCACTGAGGCCTGGGGGATTGCTGAGAAGCTGGATTTGGTTGGACCCATTGTGGAACAGCCAGAGTATAATATGCTATCGAGGCACAAGGTGAGGGCTTTAGGCTTTTCTCATCACTTGGAAGTTGGGAAATTGTGGTATTGTAATTGAATCATGACGATTAATGTGCACTTCTGGATGTTTTTGATGGAGTGCTAGTGGATAAATTGCTCTTCTTATTCATGGGGATGACGGGGTTAGATTTCATTTTGGTCTGATCAAAATTCCTATGGATATAGGTTGAGTCGGAGTACCTCCCTCTGTACACCAACTATGGCGTGGGTCTTACCACTTGGAGTCCACTTGCTTCCGGAGTACTTACTGGCAAGTACAGCAAAGGAAATATACCTCCGGACAGCCGTTTCGCTTTGGAGAATTACAAAGTAAGGCTACTAGATGTCTCACACTTCCTCGTGATTTCTCATGAGACTTGGTCTCATTTACAGTGTAGCTGTATACAGTACCAACTTTACTCACATCATGTACTTCTTTTTGTTCTGGTTTTCTCCACATTTTTTTCAAGTTTGTTAAATACTGCACGATGTTGGCAGGAAATCCATTATTGCTTTACATACTCATTTGGGCTAGGTTTCCAGATGTACTTCATCATCCCATGCAAGTCATCAAATCCAACTTTAGATGGCTGTTGTTGTCAAATGGTGTTGCTTAATATTACCAACTTCTGCTGTCAAACATACAGTCTCTCTCTCTCTCTCTTTGCTGCCTTTGCCTTTCCTTTTTATTCCTAAAGATTGAGATGTGTCTTCATGCAAGCATTCATGGTCTTTTGCGTTTGCTTTCATTCATTTTGGACTAATTAGCTTGAGTCATGTTTCTTTTTCCTACCAGAACCTTGCCAGCCGATCCCTGGTTGATGATGTGCTGAAGAAGGTCAATGGGCTTAAGCCAATTGCTGATGAACTAGGTGTGCCTATGGCTCAACTTGCGATAGCGTGGTGTGCTAACAATCCAAATGTTTCATCAGTAATTACAGGTGCCACAAAAGAGTCCCAGGTACGTCTCAAGAAATAACAACTATTCTAACTTCTTCCCTGATTGTTTATAAAAACCCTGTGCTTGGAACCTGTTCATTCTTTCTACCAACCAGAGCTCCATATTCCATGTAGAAGCTTCAAGTTGCTGGCTTTTTCCCCATACTGCTTTCTTAATGTGTATTCCTGGCGGCATATACATCTAAACTATAACAGTAACTAATAGTTCTGCTCCTGTATATACAGATTCAAGAGAACATGAAGGCCATCGATGTCATCCCACTACTGACACCCGCAGTGATGGAGAAGATTGAAGCTGTTCTTCAAACCAAGCCGAAACGTCCCGATTCATACCGGTAATGAAAGGGTTCATACGCATGGTCTCTCCCCATTTCCTTGGCAGGGACATGTCTGGTGAAGTTTCGTGTGTCGTCATTGATCTTGTAGCTAGATGACATTGTGCTTGTGGTGCCGTAGCTATTTCTACATTCAGTAGTTTCCCCATGGTCTGAAAACTCTCAGGAAAGGGATTCGAGCTTAAGCTGTTTATCATGAACTTGTCAAATGGATGGATTTCCAGTGGATTTTTATGTATTCTAAGATTGTGGACTTCCTGTGTGTGGCTTTCGTTAGTAACTCTACTATATTAATTCCATTTGCTGTGTGATAGCCAGTGCGGTGGAGAGAAAACATACAGGCTCAGAGTTCAAGCGCATTTTGCTCTTACCAAATGAGGAATTTGGTTACAACAGGTTCTTAGAGAACGAAAATCATATATAATTTTTCATGGTAAATCTCTCAATCGTGGATCATATATTCATAATCAGGAATTTGTGAATATGGTTTAGCTGGAGTTTCCATCAATCTCCAGCCAAACCCATATATACAAGGTATATGGGTTTACCTCGAGGTTGATGACAACTCGAGTTTCCATTAACCTCTAGTAAAACCCATATTCATTACCCATCATTGTTGTTCGGACTAGTCTATTGGCTATGATGTCAACAATGCTTTTCTCCAAGACAAGCTCTTCAAGGAGGTGTTTATGACCAAATACCAGACTGAAATGACTCGACCTTCAGCTTGTCACCAACTTTTCGTGGGTAAAGATGATTTACAGAGTTACATCTCATCTCAACTTAGGTGCTCCACCTGGGGTGGAATTTATCAAGAGCAACAGAAGAGATTGAACCATAGCTTTTGCAATCTCATTCCAATGAAATCATGGACATTGATGGTTAAATATTGAAGAAAGAAAAGATACAAAAGATGGATCCAAGGGGTGCTACTATCTTGTGGTATATATAAATAAACTCAACTAGTACTGTGACCGGCCCGTTGGCCGGTTGATGGCTTTTCTGGTGAATTCAGTAGGTCTATTTTCTATTTAAGGATTAGTAGGAGCCAGGAGGTAAGTCTTAAGTGGATTTTGATTGGCCATGGAGACAACGCCTCTTCCATCTCTCCCACTTCTTGTTCATCTTTCCTTCCACTTTTGTTATGTGCATCGTGGTGTGGCAATTGCTCTTCTCTCGTTGACTTGTAAAGATGTGCAACGGGTTAGTCCGTATCGGACTGAACCGGAGAGAAATGATGTTTGTACCCGATCATACCGAATGAATATAACATGGTCTGGTTATTGGTCCAATGAATTTTTTAAAAATGGTTAAAACCTGAAGAAAAATTGACTGAAGTATGTTTGTACCCTATCATACCGAATGAATATAACATGGTCCGGTTCTTGGTCCATTGAATTTTATAAGTAATTAAATACGGAAGAAAAATTGACTAAAGTTATATTTGGATTGGACCAAATCGGACTAAAACGTACCAAATTCAATGTTGTTACAATCCTTGGTCCTAACATGTTTGTTACTATTTGACAGCGGGTCTATGAGTTTGATTTGGTCCGGAGTGAACCAAACCGTTGCACAACCCTATTGACTTGAGATGAAATCCAAACTTATAAATTGGTTAGATGTGGATACCCATTAAAAACACAAATCCAACCATAAAAGCTGGTCTTTACGCTACATATTACTTCGTATGATCTTTTAGGCCCAGTCATCATTTTGCTACCATGTCTAAACGCTCAACAAACAATATTGAGAATTCCTACCATACATTGAAGTAAGGTGATTGTATATTTCATTGCATAAAATACAATATTTATTAACCGCTATATATCTAATATATATGTTTATCTTACATTATACTTATAGAACACTATGTTATATAAAATAGGGTAGCAATAGGGTAGCTCATGTTGTAGCTAGACAGGCTCTGTCTTTGTCCCCAACTACGTGTCGTTATTTTGACTTTCAGGCCTGGCTGAATTCCAGGATGTAATTATCGATTTGCTTCTATCAATACAAGATATCTTTTGTAAAAAAAAAAACATTATACTTACAGAACACTATGTTATATAAAATACAAAGCCATTACGCAAAATATATTGTCTTCTTGATGAACTTTACAATGCTTTAAAGCATTGATGCTTTAGTTTTTGCCTTTATGATGCAACTTGAAGTTGTATCTTTAACGCTATGACGAGACTTTAGGTTGTACTTAAAACTTTTTTATAAATTCCTTTATAGTACAAACTAAAGTTGTGTGTTTATGTTATGATACAACTTGAAGTTGTACCATGACATAAAAGCCAAATTTCTTTAATTGTTAATACAAGTTGTATCATGACATAAACACAGAGACACGACAGAGATCAAAAGGGATTACGTGGCAAAATTAAAACTGAGTGAAGCATATTATATATAGTTTAGATGTAGCTAGGAAGAATGAATATGATTATATACATGAACTTTCTCACATGGTTCGTAGTTTACATGGCTTGTTGACAAGAGAAACCATCGTTAAAGCAAAAGGACGAAGAAACCTTGGATGTTCTGCACGAAATTCATGGGAGTTAACGTTATTGTAATATTCCAGCTAGCAGTGGATTTTGGCACCAGCTTCCAGCTACAGCTTAGAGGACAAACAGAGGAGCCTCGGCAAGAAGCACGACATAGGCATCAATATGGTGCACTACTTTTTGTGCCGTTTCGCGTCCCATCCCATTCCCATGCCGTTACTTTCTAATTGTTCTTCTCTTTAGCGTAAACGACTACGACAAGCATTATGAGCCCGAAAATATCTATGGTTGACGGAGACTTGATCCACTCAACTTCATGCAAACGAATTTTTCGAAGACTTTTGGGTCGCAGCGGGTTCTTTATTTTTATTGAACAAAATCAGAAGTATTTTTTTAAACATTTTGAAGGAAATTTCACATTGTCAAAGGACGAGAGGTATATGATTTATAAGTATAGTTAGTAAAATACAGTACGTGTAAGTTACGTATATAATACATATGGGTAGTTCGTTTCATTACTAAAATTAATGGTAAGTGTGATAGGATGTTAATAGGCATAAAATGTATGAATTTACTTATTTTAGAAATATATAAATAAACATATAATATTCAAATTATTAATTTAATTCATTGAATATGGATATTAAACGTGTTATACAGGTTTAATACATGTTTAGTACGTAAGTCATCAAATGAACAACAAAAAATGAAACAGTTTGACAATATACGAAAATGGGAGTTCAAAATGCATAAAATACATACGTACATATATACATGTATTAAACGGAGTATTTACTAACTATGTTTATAAGTACGAAATCGACTTTAATTGTGACAAGACACATTTTTTGGTGAAAGATAAGAGTTATTGTAAGAACTCTGAAGTTAAACGTGCTTACTCGTAGTTAATAAAATACGATACATATAAGTTACATATAAAACGCATATGTTTTTTTTTGGACAAAAGATAATCATATTGATTAAGAAGAGATCACAAGTTACATCCTGGAACCAACCCAGGCACGAAAATCGTATAATTGACACGAGGCCGGAGACAAAGACAGGGCATTTCGAGCCACAACATGGGCTACCCTATTTCTATTCCGACCTACGAACCTAACCTGGAAACCACTATGCAGAGCCAACAAAGTCAAAATTTCCTGAATAATGGCCCAACACGTCCATCCAGAGCATCGTTGGCATTAATCTTATCAATGAGCACCTTAGCATCACTCTCAAACATAACTTGGGGGAAACCAAGAGCATTACACCACTAGAGGGTCCATGATGCATGGAAAAAGACACTCCTTTAACCAAGAGCACATTTCCACCGCCATCCTTTACCACCAAACCTCCCGCTGAATGCGAGCCATCACTTACCGCACCATCCCACATACAAACGATATGAGGCAAGGCCCCCTCCCTTCCATTAACACTCTGTGGTACCCACCACTGAACCAGCGGATACTCTGACAAAGAGACCCATTCATGAAGCTGCTGCTGATATTGACGCATTAAAGAGTAATTGTGAACTGTTTTCCCTCAAAGACTGCCCAGTTACGAGACTTCCAAATACACCATAAGAGGGCAACCAGAGCCATGATCTGAGTCGGCTGATCCATCCTAAGCAAACACTGCTTGAGGAATAAAGGAAAAGTCTCTCTCGGCAAATCATGACCCAAGTGCTCCAAGCCCGAAGATGCGCAAAGAGCTGCAGCGACCGAACATTCCCAGAAAAGATGTTCCATTGTTTCAGATTCCGCACAGCACACCGGACACCTAGGCAACATCAGTACCCTTTTCTCAATGAGTGCCTCAGTCGTAGGCAAGATACGATGAAGGATTTGCCATACTAACAACTAAAGCTTTGGTGGAATCTTGAGGGCCCACATTCGCATCCAGCTCGTCCTATCCATCCAGCTGACCACTTGACTCCAAGTACCCTCCTGCCTATCAACCAACACCGCTAGGTGATACGCTGATTTAACAGAGAACACACCATTAGTCGTGTCATGCCATATCAATCTATCCTCCATACCCAAACGAGGCAAGGGAATCGCCAATATAGCATGAACTACGTCCAAAGAAAACCTCTCCTGAAGCGATTGGATGCACCATCCGCCCCTTATATGATCAAAAAGCTCCACCACATTCGGGTCATTACCCTCCAGATCTATATGTGGAAGACACATAGGGGGCTGTGGGTGACATGCTGGCACCCAAATCGAATGATGAATAGAGGCCAGGGCCCCATTCCCAACCTGCCATTGAAGTCCTCGTTGGAGAAGGGTACGCCCATGAAAACACTATTTGGCTATCATTCTCGAAAAGCATTTGTTAGTCGAGGATGAAGCAATTAGCTAGTGAAATGAAGGGAGAGATATATGATTTATAAGTACGAAACGACTTTAACCGACAAGACGCATTTTGGGTGAAATGGAAGAGTTATTGTAAGATTTTCAATGTTAAACATGCCCACTATGGAGGACTATAATGCTTGGTGACCTACCGAAAAGTTATATTGATACGCAACCCAAATAAAAAATCGTGAATCTAGACCCAAAGCGAACAATATCTTTAATAAAAAATATTCGGAGTGTTACCCTTTTATAAAATTGAGAAGATAGAAACATCTATGAAAATTAAAATAAATATGAAGAAAGTAATTAACTTGTTAGGCCTATTTTCCATCTAAAGGGCCAGCCTCATTCCTGACAGAATATACTCACGCAACAACTGAAATCTACAATTATTAGGTTTTTTTCTCCTTTGTGGTTAAGAATCTAATTATATTTATAACTTCACTATCTATTAATAATTTAAGGGTAATTTGAATAACAGTCACAAATCTTTGCACTTATACAAAATGGTCACAAATCTTTAATTTGTAACGATACGGTAACACAAGTTTGAAATAGTCATTTTGTTTAATTTGTGACCGTTTTGTATTAATAGCAAAGGTTTGTTACCAAGTCGTTACAAATTAAAGGTTTGTGACCATTTTGAGGTCGGATCGTGTGTTCGTCGAGTATATGACACTAATAACTTAAACGACATATGAGATCTCGGGTCGTGTGTTTATCGATATACTTGTTTTGCCGAATAAGAATGCCCTCTATTTACGTGCCAATTTCAAAACCGAGAAAGTAAGAAAGTAGACCGAGTATTTTTAACTAAAAGATAGCATGTAACCTGTTTGTGAGGCGTTGAGTTCCTCACAGTCATTCTTTATTTTTTTTATGAGTACTGCCATCCATTGTTATGATTATATCATTCACATAAATTTTATGATCTTTGGTTAGAGATTTCTAGCCCTTTGGATCCCTTTTGGGTTGCCTGCACTCTGCAGCATTGCAGGGGAATCTTATCATAGTTAAAATACATGAAGGAAGTGCAATCGACCTCATCAGTCTATCAATGCCTCAGGGAGGAAGTCTTCCTATCCGAGCACCGACTCCAAATGAGGGAAGTGTTCCTCTCCCTTTTCTCACTCCCTGTGTCAGTTTCGTGTCTTTTGCTCCTCGGAGTTTTCATATAGCTGCCCACCTCGTGGCATAACAGGCTCTTTTATCGGGAGTCCGGTTGCATACGGACTACCGTTCTTTATTATTTTGAGTTGTATTTTGTTGTTGCCCGGCCATGCCCTAGGGGCTTATCTTGGATAAAAAAAAATTAACAAAGCCATCATACCTCGACTGTAGCGAATTGTAACAGTGATTGATCGTTCAAACCTCTGATCGTTGTACAAAACGGTCACCAAAAGTTTAATTTGTAATGTAACCACACGGTAACAAAAGTTGAACTTGGATGAAATGGTCACAATGTTTAATTTGGGACCATTTTGTTTTAAGTTTAAACGTTTGTTACCATATTGTTATAAACCAAAGGTTTGTGATCGTTTTGTACTAAGTGCAAAGTTTTGTGACCATTTATGCTAATTACCCAATAATTTAATAAATACTAAAAAATTTATTTATGTAGTGTCTTTAATCATTATGGAGTAATACATATATTTAATTTTATTCATAAAAATCTTTGTTATAAGAACCGAACTAGATCAATGGTTGGGCCAGTAGAACCACTAAACTAATTACAATAGTGGGTCAGTTCATTTGATTGTCTAGTTAGGAATGGACCTAACAATTTTAATAGTTTGACATGAACCTGATGAACCACTACGGTTTGACTGGTTTACTGGTTCACTATTTTAACCACACAAAATTTAAAAAAATACTTTTTTTATATATAAGTGGATGCGAAGCATCCTATCCTTCATTCAAAACTAGCCGGGGTTCGGAAAGCCCCTGAATGTCATACAAAATTCAATGCATCAAAGCAGGATCAGAAATAGGAATAACAAGAGAGCCAAGCTCAAGAAAATGACCCCTCGCGGCAAGAAAATATGCACATGTGTTGCCCTCTCTATAAATATGGGAGACAGTGACATCCCAATCCTTCTTGAGTAACGTTTGAAGCCGAGTGATAACCACGACATGCTAGTAATTTCGGCTGTCCGAGCTCTGGATGAGATGAATTGCGCACCGGGAATCAAGCTCCATACGGAACGGCGATAGCCTATGTCCCAAGCCAGTTGAAGGCCTTCCACAACGCCTCTCAACTCTGCCCGGGTAATGGAGCACATACCCAGGTTCAAGGCGAATGCTGCAACGCAGCGTCCAAGGTGATATCTAATAAGGCCTCCTGCAGAAGCAAGACCCGAATCATGTTTAACAGAGCCATTTGAGTTGAGAGTAACCCACTCGGGAGGAGGCGGCGTCCAGGAGATCAACTCCTACGTTCTTGCGGGCGGTACAGGGTGGTGAATGATCATGTCCTTGTCCATGGACGTCCTCAGGACAATTATCAAAGCCGCGACGCGCTGTAGAAATCCTTCAACATTAATGAACTTGTTTGCGAAAACATGGCCGTTCCTGGTCCGCCAAAGGGACCAGCAACGGAGGCCAAACTGCAAGCTGAGCTCATCGTTGCTGAGGTGTTTTGTCATCCATTCCTGCAGGGTGAGTTCGAAAAACAGCTGGTATTCAGAAGGTTGGAGCAATCGCATCCAAGTTAACATGACAAACTGACAGTCTCGCAACACATGCATGATCGCCTCTTGATGAATCTCGCATTGACTGCAATTAGTTTGGTCCATCAAATATCTTCTTCCTCGTTCCGAATTTGTCAGGAGTCGTCCACGCGCCGTGAGCCACAGGAAATGCTGGACGCAAGCCGGTCCTTTCCACCGCCAAATCTTCCTCCAGTCGAACTCCTGCTCCAAGTGTTCATGGTTGGTCGCGAGCTCATAGGCCGATTGAACGGGGAAAAGCCCGTCTGCTTCAGGTCCCCATAGTGACACGTCCTCACCTGCATCAGTTTTGGGAGGTTGGATTCCTTGGACCTGCAAAATCATAGAATCAGGTAAGTATAGCCGAAGCCGGTCGAGGCCCCAGTCACCTTCACTCGTCATGAATTCCGCTACAGATGCGTGAATATCACTAGAAACGTTCTCCTCAAAGACGTGATCTAGCAGCCTCTCTCCGCTATCCACCCAACATTCAAGCCAGAAGGAAGTGCTTTGGCCGTCGATGATACTCATGTGAGTGCCCTCCTCCATGATCGGTCAAGCTTTCCGAATCTTCCGCCAGATCGTAGACCACCTCTTCGAGTCTTCGTAGACTTAGGCGTGACGACGCCCTTGACAGACTTGAATATTTAGTCTGCAAAACACGCACCCACAACTCATCTGGCTTCTTTACAAATGACCAAGCCAGCTTTGCTAAGAAGGCCAAGTTGAGTTCATGTGCTTTCCGGATCCCCAAACCACCCTCCGCCTTAGGCTTGCACACACGGTCCTAGTGGACCAAATACATCCTCCGTCTACTGGTCGTGGAGCCCCATATAAAGGACCACACCCTCCTATCAATCAGCTCGCAAATCGTTATGGGTAGAAGCATCGTCTGCATGGCGTAGGCCGAGAGGGAGTTTAGCACCAACACAGCCAAAGTCACCCTGCCTGCAAAACTCAACGACTCTGCTTTCCATCCATAAAACTTTTTATCAATACGATCAATGATATATTTGTAAGTGTCCTTGTTCACCCTACCGTGAAGGATAAGAACGCCCAAATAACGTCCTTAGTCTTGCGTCGGGATACCCAATTGCTCGATGATGGCTACGCTCACTGGCCTCTGGGCATTTTTGGAGAAAAACATCACGAACTTCTCCTTGCTCACTAGTTTTCCAGATGCACGACAGAAGTTGTCCAGGCAATCAAGAACTACTTTACTCTGCTTCACAGACGCTTCTACGAAAAGGATAAGGTCATCAGCAAAAAACAAATGGGACAGGGGGGAGCACCTGGTGCGACGCAAAGCGGTTTCCAAGATCCCTCACTGACCGATTTCTCAATCAAATGACTTAGCCGCTCCATGCACAGAGTGAACAAGTATAGTGATAATGGGCAACCCTGGCGGAGGCCACGTGAGGGGGTGAAAGGCTCCGTCAACTCCCCATTCTATAACACCTGCATAGTAGACGAACTTACGCAATGCATGATCGCATCGATCAGACGTCCAGGAAAGCCAACACCCACCAACGTCTTCCTTAAGAAGGGCGAATCGACGCGATAGTAAGCCTTACCCAGATCAATCTTAACAACCAGCTGACCTTGCTTGCCCTTTTTCAAACCCATCGAGTGCACCACTTCCTGCAGCATGATGATGTTATCGGTGATGTGGCGACCCGGAACGAAACTAGTTTGAGTTGGGTGAACTAGCTGTCGCATATAGGGCTTGATATGATTGACTAAGCACTTAGTAAAGGTCTTGTACGCCACATTGCAAAGCCCAATCGGCCGAAATTTAGAGATTAGCTATGGGCTCTCTTTTTTCGGGATGAGGACCAAAAGAGTTAAGAAAATACTTTAACGTAAACTAAGATCATCCAATCTCAATCACTAATTGTATTTAGGGTAAATACAATATATTAGCCACAACTATTATGAAGCGGGGAATTATAGCCACAATTATGGAAAATCAAATTATTAGCCAAACGTTAACTATCTGTTAACAATTTCATTAGTAATACTGACTAAACTTTTATGTTTTAGAGTTATAAATTAAAAGCATTCTGACGTGGCCGCTGGCGTGGCCGATGATGTGGCCTTCTCCATCAAAAATTCAATAACAGTAACAGACAGTTAGCCATATCTTGACCCGCAACAATAGTTATGGCTAATAATTTGAATTTTCATAGTTGTGGCTATAATTCCCTGCTTCATAATAGTTGTGGCTAATATATTGTATTTACCCTTATTATTTATACTTCCTTCTTCATTTCTCTGCCTCCTTGTCGGCATTATGTGGTCAACTATGGATTGCCAGTTGCCACCATGATTACTAACTTGAATTTAATAAAAAAAATTTGTGAGATAGTTTGAATACTTTGTTAGAAATTTTTGTGATGGATGATATGCATTCGAAATTCTTTATGGTTAGTGATAATTTCAGTCTTAAAATGTGTACTATATATGACTTTTATGTTATAGCACATGAATATTTCTTTTAGACTCATATTATTAAATACTTACGTAATATGTTCGTTAATTGATACATAAAAAATTACTAACCCTCCACAAGTTATATCTACGTATGTTCTATTCAACGGGGAAAAAAAAGTATATGTTTATTTTGCGAAAAGGATAAGAGCAAAAGTGAAATCCTAATGCTAGTACTAGAAATCATATCCGTTAATTCCCCTTAAATTTAGCCATCAACCGTGCAATTGACTAAAACCCTAATCCATCTTAAGACCTCCCAAGTCCCAACACCCACTAAGCTGTAATATAGCTAAACTCCAAATCCAAAATCGTCCAATTTAGCTAACCTCAAGAGCCAAAGAAAAACCAAACATATACATATATGCTTACTTGTCGTACAGCTACAGCACTTGCAAGTTGCAAGACAATGAGAACCCCAATGAAGATTATTGAGACCCAAAAGAAGATTATCTAATTAATTAGTGTTTTGTCGTTGGAGATTAGTATTAATTACTAGCTAGTGTTGTAGTTTGATTGAGAAGCTGAATGTTTGTTTGATCTGTCGCTTGGCCGAATCCTATAGAGACCCGAAACCTTCCTCCTAACTTCCAAAGTTCCATTCCATCTAAATTTTCCTGTCCCTTGCTTTCTTTTCTGGTTTATAATTTATCCATTCCGCCACCTTTGTCGTAGATTTTGAAACGGTCTCTCCAACAACTCTCCCTTCTCTTTTTCCCCTTCGATTGCGGTCTCCCAACGCTGCCTTCTCTCTCCCTCTCTCTGTTTTTTTTCTCCTTTCTCTCTGGTGTTGGAGTTGAATTTGGATTCTTTCTCCGCCGTTGGTTCTCAAACTTCCCCTGTCTCTGAATCTTCTTTAGCTAAATCTCTATGTTTAGCTAGCAGGTCGAAATCTCTCTGCTTTTTTTCCCTGCCATCAAACTTGCCTTTCCGCTGGTGTTGTTTTTATGGCAATAATGGCGATGACATCATGGATCCTCCACCGACTCTATTAATCCTATCTGTTTCTTTATCTCCCTTTTATCTTTCCCTTTATTAGGATTCTCCTCCACCTCTGTCTCTCAAGTCAATTTCCCCGTCTCTTCTCTCCCTCCCTCTCTCTTTGCAGCTTCCCCTGTTTTTTTTTTTTGTTTTTTTTTTCTTTTAAAGGGTTTTTTTTGGGTGGGTTTTTGCCCTCCATCGCGCGTGCTGTTCTTTGATTCCAGTTGGGAAAATAAGAAAAGAGCTCCCTTTGTTTGTTTTCGAGTTAAGGGTTCGTCATTCAGGGGAATCGTGTGCATTGGGTCGTCGTTTTCTTAGAGGGGTTTACTTTTATTCTCTTCCCTCCATTTATAAAGAATTTCCTGTGGCGTAGTTTGATCAATCATACGGCCGGTGATGGTGCTTTGAATTAGTGCAAAGGTCAATTCTTTTTCTTCTTTGTGCTCTGTTTTTATGATTGGAGGGAAACCCAGTTTGCAGGCCTTCAATTTTCTAGGGTTTTTGTAACATCCAATTATTGGAGAGGTGGGGAGGGGAGGAAGGGGAGGTTAGTTGAAATTGGGTTTACCCTTTTGATATTTTAAGTCGTTGGAATCGAATTCTTCTCCCATTCGGCCTTTTCGTGCCTGCTTTTTTGTTTCCTTCCCCTGTTTTTTTCCGGCTCTCGTTTATATCGGTGAATTTCGACCTGAACAAAACGAGTCGTTGAATCTTTCCAGCTCCCAGTGATCTCTTCTTTATTGAGGGAAAAGAGGAAGTGGGAATACCCAGTTGTTCTACGATTTTGAGATAAGCATGGATTCAAGGATGGGCGAAGACGTTGAGGGTCTGAAAACAGAGAAGAAGGTCGAAGAGGGAGGTATGAACCATAATAACTCTAAGGTGAAAGGTACAGGAAGTGTTAGTAGCAAAGATATGATTTTTCGAGCAGACAGAATCGATCTCAAGAGCCTTGATGTACAGCTGGAGAAGCATTTGAGCAGGGTCTGGTCAAGGAACAACGTTGAGAAGCAAAATCCTAAGGAAGAGTGGGAAATTGATCTCTCTAAGTTGGATATAAAGAACCAGATTGCCCGTGGGACTTATGGGACTGTTTATAAGGGGACATACGATAATCAAGATGTTGCAGGTAAGAACCTCTGCTTATAGCTTATACAAGTTTATTTGCATGCTGTTATTTTGTGTTGATATGCAAGGGATACCATTCTGTCGATTAGCTAGCTAGTGCATGGTGATTGTGTTTTATGTTGCTTGTGGAATAATGAAGCTTTTTCCATGGCGTTGATGTTAGTGAAAGTACTGGATTGGGGTGAAGATGGGATGATCACAGTAGCTGAAGCCGCTTCTCTCAGGGCATCGTTTAGACAGGAGGTGGCAGTTTGGCATAAGCTCGATCATCCTAATGTAACAAAGGTAAAAGTTATTCTTTCGTATCTGTTTTGCTACTCAGTTTAATTGACATGTGGCTTGGTTTGATGTATCTGGAGGTCTCTAATTGGTAATAGCATGCATTGGAACCAACGTGTCGAAATTTCTCTGCATTTGGGTGTATATAAACTGCGTATATAAACTGCACATGCAATCTCAAACTTCACATTCCTTTGTACTAAACGATGTTGTTAGACCTTACAGCAGTTCATTCAAATACTTCTGCAGTTATCTCGATTTCAATGGCTTTGGCAATGTGCACATCTTATAAATAAAAGGTCTCTATAGTTTCGTTAATTCGGTATGTTGAAACAATGTGTTTGCATATCCTGTTTCTTCCATCCAGTTTGTTGGAGCATCAATGGGAACTTCGGATCTCAAGGTTGCAAACAAGCAGTCTGATGGACATACCGCGAGGGCATGTTGTGTCGTTGTTGAGTATCTTCCAGGAGGAACACTCAAACAATACTTGATACGAAATAGGAGGAAGAAGCTTCCCTATAAGGTTGTGATACAACTTGCTTTGGATCTCTCTAGAGGGTGAGTCTGAAAGCTTCGCTCACTTTAATATTCTTTGTTATGAGTATTGAATACGAATGATGATGGCATAAACATGCTGAACTTGCAGTCTCAGTTACCTACACTCAAAGAAGATCGTCCATCGTGATGTGAAATCAGAGAACATGTTGTTGGATGGTCAGAGGAATCTTAAGATTGCTGATTTTGGTGTTGCTCGAGTTGAAGCTCAGAATCCAAGTGATATGACTGGCGAAACCGGTACCCTTGGGTACATGGCCCCTGAGGTAATTCTGAAATGTATTTCCTCGGGCTTTGTTTAAGATAAAATATCCATTTCCGGAGCTACTTATAAACTCGATACTTGATAAATGAAGGTGCTTGATGGGAAGCCGTACAACAGAAGGTGCGATGTTTACAGCTTCGGCATATGCTTGTGGGAAATCTACTGCTGTGATATGCCATATCCAGATCTTAGCTTTGCCGATGTCACATCTGCTGTCGTTCGAAATGTAAGCTCGTCATGATTTTGCTGAATGAATAATATACATAGACAATCATGTGTGTCTCATACATTCAACATATAACCATGCTCCTGAAACTTGTACAATGCAGAATCTACGACCCGAGATCCCGAGGTGTTGCCCAAGTTCACTGGCGAACATCATGAAGAAATGTTGGGATGGACATGCGGAGAAGCGTCCGGAGATGGCTGAGGTTGTCAAGATGTTGGAAGTCATTGACACGAGCAAAGGAGGAGGGATGATCCCTGAAGACCAGAACCCAGGCTGTTTCTGCTTTGCCCCAACTCGTGGCCCTTGAAATCTTCTTCGACAATAGCTGTCTGCCGCCATGTGAAAAATGCTCTCTTTTTTTCACCAACCAGAACCCAGGCTGTTTCTGCTTTGCCCCAACTCGTGGCCCTTGAAATCTTCTTCGACAATAGCTGTCTGCCGCCATGTGAAAAATGCTCTCTTTTTTTCACCCGCTTCTGTTTTTGGGTTTATGTTTTCGTTTTTTTCCCTCTTATAAATCAATACCTTTCTCCTGTGTACTTGTTTCGAATTGAGAGCAAAGAGACCTGAAAGGTTGGTCTGCTTGCTATGTCAAGGAAGGAGTGCTCCTTTTGAGCTCTGTGTTTTATACTCACAGTTAATGCAGACAGGTCTCCCTGTACTGTAACCAATTGAGCCACTATGTCTAACCCACATATAGAGTCCTTGGTGTACATGGATTCGTCATGATTCATGCTAATCTGTTCAGTTTCTAGTCATTCATCTGCATATTGATCATGTCCTTTCTGTGGTTGGCATCAAGCTTCACAAGCATACCATGTAACAGAGGTTTACACAGTTGGCTTGACTTAGGTTTGGGCTTGCTTTAGTTCAAGGTTGTGCGAAACTAACAGCAAACATGGGTTGAATATTTGGGCCCAATACGTGGGTGGAAATTGGAATGTTGCTGAATGGACGAGTCCAGTTGCAGAACGAAGGCCTGAATTGAATGGCCCTCCAGCTTTCAACAGTATTACAGAGCATTGCACTTGCACACAATTGTGATTCAATTGAGGAGATAATCGTGTGGATGACTAGTGGTTTTCAACCATATATTAGTGCGGCCGCAGAACCAGACAGTAAGGCTGAAGAAATTTACGGGGAACATCTAAATATTAATATGTCCATTTAGGATCTCCCACTCACAAAAGCATTAGTTCTCCGGCCACAGCTGCCATTCTGGGTCTCCCACCAAATCATTAACGGCCAATGACTATATTCATTCATGTTAGTGGACTTCAACAAATCTTATACTTCGTGTTGAAACTGTAATTAATCGGTGATTTCATCAAATCTCATTTCGTCTCCTTCATGCAAGGATTCCACTTGGTTTCGTTGATCTGAGTCATATTTAACAAGACGGTTCCAAATCTATCTATCTATACTATATATTATGGTAATTTAAAAATAATCTCTTGCCACATAAGCAATTGGAGGATCCACAAGTTGCCAAGTTGGACAACTTTTTTACAAACAAAAAAAAATTAGTTATTAATGTATTTATGGAGCTACCTCTCTCTTCTTTAATATTTTCAATTATTTTATCTAATTATTCTTTTTCATTTATCCATTTATTTTTTTCATTTTTGCATTAATAATAACTTACATGTTGATAAATTTAATCAAACACACATAAATAATAATTTTTTTTGTCAAGTAAACAAAATATAAATAGAAAACAGAGAGTGACATATATCACATTTGTTCAAATAAAAAGTATCTGATTAAAACTTATGAAGTAAACTTTCTACTCATTTTTACTAAAATTGAATGATAAGTTACATTTTGATAAAAAAAATAAACAAACATACACATAAACAATAATATTTTATCGATTAAACAAAATATATATGAAAAGAGAGAAAATAAACATTTGACATTCAATTACCTTTGAAAAATAAACTATATTATTTTATATTTTGTTGCAATCAAACACTCTCTTATTGGTGAAGTATATGTCTATAAAATAAAACAATTATTATTTAGCAAAATGTTAGAGTATAATCTTGATCGAGTAGTTACAGTTATTTACTTATTAAAGACTTCTTATTCATTCAGATCATGTTCTACAATAACTCCTCAAATGAAGAGGAATTGCATGTGCAATAATTTTATAATGTGTCTAAGTTCACATTAATAATATTTGTTATATATCATGTTTGATTGAGTAAGCTCTATTGAGGTCCTAAGTCGTATGCTAAGAAATTTTCTTTCAGACTTGGAGTTATCGTCGACGATTATAACATATGTGAAGGTTAAAGTAGTTTTTGTTGACAATCTACTATAAACATTCCTTGATGAGACACAACATTCCTTGAAAAATAACATATGTGAAGGTTAAAGTAATCTTTGTTGACAATCTACGATAAACATCACGTTTCATCAATTAATAACCTAGGCATTTACCAAATAAAGGTTGGCAATTTTTAGTAAGATAGTCAATTGGGATAAACATATTTATCCAACAATCAAATATCTTTATCCAATCATCTCAACTCTCAAAATTGGTTGCCAGTTCGTCCAAACACGAGAAACACACATTGATATATGTTGTATAAGATAATAAGTTAATGCAAATAATCAAATGAAATCCACCGATATTGTTCAAATGATAATACATTTTAAATGCACTTGAAATATGTGTGTATTGTAGACACTCTTTATCAATTATTAATATATAAGTGATAAAATCTTTGAAAATTACACATTCAACGACCATGTTAAGACCAAAATCCTTGATAGTGTGTGTGTCTTAGATTGAGATTCCAAGCCAACATATACAATGACCACGGGTTGAGGGTTAGTCTAAAATTCAAGAATTAACAACTGATACATATTGTATAATATACTAAATTTAATTGTCTTGATAAATAAACTAACATCCAAAATGGAAATGAGTCGAGATTAGAGAATTTAATCATCATGAGGGCTACAGTGTGTGTCAGGTTTCAATATAGATGAATAAATTGATCCAATAACAAAGTATCGTTACAACATTGGTCGAGAGTTCGTCCAAACTCGAGGATCATGAATGTGTATTGGATTTCCACATGACCTAAAATTTCAATCCCTTTGGGGGGCTGAATACCTCTGATCACAACCACAAGTGCCAAAGAAGAATGAAAAGAAGCCCAAAAAAGCAAAAAAGAAAATAACCTCTGATACGATGAACAAAATAAAACCATATTGAGCTATGATCCTGTCAGCCCTACCATTTTATTCTCCATAAAGGGGGTTGTGGGAGAGGATAAGAAATAAATAGCAGGATCTTAGGATTTGCCTCTTTATATAATATATATCGAACGATAGACAACCCTAATGGTTGTCTGACGTTGTGGGGGTAAAAGCGGGATCTCTATCTCGCGAATGGGGATAGGCAAGTAGCACTTTTAATATGAGTATTATGCGAGATATGATAGGTCTGATGAAGTATGTGGATAATTTTGAGTCTACTACTACTACTACACACACACACACACATATACATATATATAATATCAAGGAGTGAGTTATACGGTACCTAGGGTGAAATTCAGTGTACCGCATACCTTAGTATGAAAACGTTATCCAAACCTTTAATTGACTGATCTTTCGCACACGATATTATACTCCAACCCTTAGACATCAAAATCTAGGTTTTAATTCTCTAAATCTTATATCTCAAGATCAATTTAATTAGAAATAATGATCGACGACTATGATTCGTCCAAATATAGGCAAAAAATGAATGCACCATCTTAGGGTTTACAGTTTATGATTTAGATAATTAGGACCTAGAATTCACTCATTAAGGGTTAGGGTATATTATCCAACCCAAAAATCCTGCTAATTCGAGGTCTAGATAGCTTTTTCATACTCAAGGTATGTGGTGCCCTAGATCTCACCTGGGGTACCGTAAAAGCCGCCCAATATCAAGGTATACTATACTTTTGATTTTACTCAAGATACGATAGAAGATAGATATGACGAAGTATGCCCATAAATTAGAGGTTAGAGAATTAGGGACTGGAGTTCACCTATTAGATGTTAGGGTATAATATCATGCCCCAAAAAACTCCGGTTAATTCGTGGTCTAAATAGTATAACTCAATGGTCGTATGGTAGTGTGAACACAAGAGTATAGCATACTCCTGGCGCACGCTAGCTTGAACTATATGTGTGTGTGTGGGGGGAGTTCAGGTTGGCGTACGCTAAACATTAGTGTTTTGGTTGATAAATTTTGACATAAGTTCTAAATGGGACGTGACGGTGACATCATTTATGATTAGAAAACCGAAGCATCACAAATGAGTGTGCTAAATATTGGAAATTTTCAATATAGACATACTACAAACTCTGTTATGAATCAAGAACACAAAATATTTGGAATCCAAAATGATTTAAACATATAAATAAATAAATTAATATAAATTATAAAATAAATCTCTCCGGCCAACGGGCCGGGTAAAAAGCTAGTTTCAAATAGAATGGTTGCGTTTTAGCTAATGCTAGCTGATTGCATTTGCAAATTGCAAGTGGTTTGGTTGGTGTAATGGGAGGTCTCATGTTTTTCTAGCGGTCAGGGTGAGGATTTTATCGAGTGTGGGTCCATTTAGAAAAAAAAAATACTTACGTTAAAATAGTTTTGTTAACTTTTTAAATCATTTCTGATATAATTAATTTTGTATTTACAAAAACATAGTAAATTAAATATATGTAGAAACTATCAAAAGTATCAATTCATATGTATCAAACAATTATTTATGATCTAGTTAGACTTTTGCTTTTGAATGGTGTTCTTTGTCAAGGCCGTTTAACATCAATAACTCGAGTTGTGGGTTAGATATAATAATGGATCTTACAATATTTAGTATTTACAAACCAAAACCAACTTATACGTGCTTAAAATTTTCGCAAATTCGAATATTATGTGTTTAACAAATTGGGCCGCCAAGATTCGGAACACATGATCTCTCGGTCAACCATTCTCAATTAGAAGTGGCCTAAACTTCATTCTTAATTAACTATTATACTAATTTACATATTCATTTTCGTTCTTTGGAACCTCCAGTTACACTCTCCCTATCCCTGATTGAAATAAAATTACTTTTACAAACTTGCTATGATTTGGTGAATTTCTTTTAGGATATTGAATAAGTACATCTTTAATTTTGGGCGAATCATATGCACCATTGTCATTTATATCTAGCTCGTTATAAAACATTGAATATGTCAATACACAACGTATAAATCATACATCAAATATTTCAAAGGTCAACCATTGTCGTT